GCGTCCTTTTAAGGGAAATTGACGGCCCTGGTAGATGATTAAACCACAAGGTAAACCTGAACCATCTATGTTTCTGGCAAAAACAACCAAAAAGGACACCTATGGCCCTTCATTTTTCCCGTTTGCCTACCCCCCCGAACATGGGTCCCGACAGGTGAGGGGGGGGGTGCTCGGATCTGCCAGGAGAAACCAAATCCGATGAGCAAAATGAGAAAGACTGCCCCTGCCCTGTGGGTCTCCTGGAAATTCAAGGAGATTCTGCTCAGGTTGAAATTGTTTGAACAGTTTGGACTATGTTGACTCCTCCCATCTCGCGGATTTGGAGAAGTTCTCTGGCCAAAATGCCCTCAGAGTTTGAAGGGTTAAGCTTTGAGGCGTGCCTACAACAGGGTCGGAAGACAAGAGTAGACTTGCGGTAAGCGGGTCCTCTTGTTGTGGTCTTTACATCAGCTTGTACCTTTCACTTTGCCTTCCTTTCACTTTACCCCGGAACGGTGGCATGTGGATGCTCAAACAGCAATGTTTACCAGACTGACTGACCTTCTGCCCTTTCGCCTCTTCATTTGTCCTGTATTGTCCTTTTCAACTCTGTCTTTTTTGTTGGGGGTGGAGTAAGTCTGGCCATCAACCCTGGCACAGGTTCACACGTGCTCTTGACAACTCCTGCCGATTGGTTTGGAAATCCCACCGGCTCTCCAACCCTTCGCTGTTGCCTTTTAAAGGAAGGTGAAAAGTGAAAAGAGTACGCCAAAATTCCCCACATGCCCAGCACTTGGCCTCTAAAAGGTAAGGCCCCGGGCACAAGTGGAGCAGCGTCCGCCCGCTGCCGTCACTCTCCCCCAGGACCTGTGCCACGGACAGGATTTGTGTCCCCCCGCCGTGGCCATTTTAAGTCTTGGTAAGGCCGTATACTGTGGATGGACAAAATCCTGCACCACTTGGAATCCACGGGAAACCGTTGTTGGTTGGCAGTTACAGGGGAATCATCCTTTCAGGCTTTGCAAGATGATGCAGGATTTCGTCCATCCACAGTATTACGGGATTAATCAGGGATAGCCCCCCCCCCCCACAGCCCCCCCGTGAGAGTGCACAATCAACTGCAGTTTCCCTCCCACTCCTTCAACCTTCTGATCTGTTTTCGTCATAAGACTCGTGTAACCATGCTGCCACTTTGGGAACCTGGCTTGGACCGCTTTTCAAAGCACTCTGGTGGGTAGGTTCGTGGTCGACATCCAGGATTATTAAGGATGAGTGTTTCCCAATAAGCAAGGGTTTCTCCACTAAAGCCGGCTCCTCTATAAATCATGGGATTATTCATGGCTGTATTCCGACTCATTAAGCCACTGATCCATGGAAGCGGGCAGGCCTTTTCAGGAGGACTATACAAAACAAAACCGTAGGCTTCCATGTTTCTAGGGTAAGATACACACACCTTGGCCCAAAGCCACCCCAAAATCCATGGCGAATCAGACTTTGTTTCGTGTTTCGTTCCACTAACAATCTGAAGATACAGAGTCCGTGCCTCCGAATCCCTAGCCATGGGACAGAAACTCGTTGACGCTGCTCGTCTTCCCAGCACAGAGCAAGTTCAGGGAAGTTCTTGGATTTGCAAAAGGATGACTTGTTTGTTCACATTTTGTCAACCAAGCTCCCGAAAAAGCATATATATATATACAGAAAAACAAAACTATAGATGTGTTCCTTTTAGGACAAGGACCCCCCAAAAAATGCCAACCAGGGCTTTTCTGCTGGTTTCCCCCCTTTAAAGCCTACCTTAAAAGGGCTTTTCCAACTCCAAACAAGACGAGCCACGGGGCGACGCGAAGCCCGCGCCTCCTGGCACTGGGGCGATGTTCCCAGCTGCTCCAAGGCCTCTGAGAGCCGCTGGACGTCGCAGGCCTCGGAGCTCGTCGATGGGTCGATGGAGCCACAAATCGAATCAGTAGGAACTTATTCTAACCAGTAGATAATATATATACATATAGTTATTTATATGTATTTCTATATATCGTATATATATATATATATTAATATATAAACATGTTTTTGGCTGGCGGTATGTTTCTTCCCGGACCTTCCTCCAGCTAACATGCCACCTGTGGGAGGGTACCTGGAAGATCAATCTACTCTCCAAGGGGCCCTCAGTCAGAAGCCATGCTTGTGGAAGGGAGGGTCACTTATTCTAACCAATGGAGAATATATCGACATGTTTTTGGCCGGTTTGTTTCTTCCCGGACTTAATCTTTTCCATAAGAAAAGGCTATACCATTCTATGATTCTATTCTCTCGTCTTGCTACTTGGTGGTGTGGATTGGTGGTTTTGAGGGTTTGAGTCTGGCTTCCCATTTGTCTACAAGAACCAGGGGTTCAAATCCCCAAACCCATCCAAACCACCAATTATGGGAACCTGAGATTGGGCCAATCCCTGGTGTGATCCAAGGTGCACGAAACCAACCCAGGCTTCACTTCTCAGTGCCAAGAAGCTTGAAGATGCGAAAAGTGACCTCACTAAGTGCGTGGGACACATCGTGGCCACCACAGGCCACCATCCCCAGCTGACTCTTAGCCTATCAGGAGCACTTCAGGGACCTGAAAAAGGGTGCACTTGTTGGCCAGTTTTTTTAGCGGATTGGCCAAGAAAATCCAAGGAGTGAGTTGGTGCTCATTGACTAGCTGGGGAGCTTTGCTGGAAGGCCTAGAAGGGAAGCAGAGGCGAAATCATCGGAATGGGTTTGGCGGGGTACACCCAAGGCCCCTGATCATGAAAGAATACATGCTCTTAGATATTCAGCCTCGTCAGGCATTCTGCTTCTTAGATCAATCTTGCCAAGCCTCAAAATGCAAAACTTTCGCGCAAAGACTCCGATGTTGGTCGCCAAAAAACGTGTCTTGAAAGCCTAAACGTCCCAGAACATCGGAGTCCCACAGCAAAGTCTCAAAATTTCCCGAAAATCGCCCAAAGTCAAACCCCAAGCCGCCGACTCTGACTGCCCCAAGTTCGCGTTTTGGGGCCCCGGCGCGAATGGCGGCCCGGAGCTCCGAGCGCGGGTCGGGCCTGCGGCTCAAGGGAACCGCCCACCCGACGAAAAAAAGGGAAAACGGGGGAACGCGTGCCACGGAATGTCTTGATTAACAAAAAAGAGGAAAATGGAAAATGGTTGGTGATTTTCCTTCTGTGGTGGCTTGCCTGGTATTGACTGGGTTGCAAAGGGAAATGCTTGGGTTTTGGTGGCTTGCCTGGGATGGGAAACACGTGGAAAGACAAACTTGACCTGACTAGCTGGCTCTCAGATTACGATGAAGTGAACCATCAACACCCAGCTAAGTCCAAGGAACACGCGGTACCGGGAAAAAGCCTCCGGCCATGGCGATGCACCAAGCGTAGGTGTCCTTTTTGGAAAATAGATGGCCCTGGTGGATTGAACCACCAGGTAAACCAGGAATCGCCCGGCCTATTTTTCGGCCAAAACCAAAAACCTGAAGCAAAAGCGCCTAGGGCTCTGGAAAGGCGCTAGGCCCAGCTCACCCGTGCAGGAACTCGGCTTCGAGTATTTGTTTGCGTGTGTCCGGAACCCAAACAAAACGGGAATTTAGAGGGGATACACTGAACTGCGGAGTCTTTGAGAAAGAAAACATGTGTTTCTATCGGATTGTCTCTGAAGAACTGCCCCCCCCCCCCCGGGGGAAAAACAAAAAAAACTTGTGCCTTTGGTTTCCTTTCAGGAGCCAAGCAAAGAGCCTTCCTTCTAAGCTCCTCAAAACGTCCGCGGCGAGCCGCTTTCGGCTGGGCCCCGCGCTCGTTCTCAGCGGTTTCCTGCAGGGCAGGGCCTCGTGCAAATGTCTTCGAATCGAATGCGGACCTCTCATGCCCTCACATAATAAGCAGCTAAGAAGGTTCAAGGGGTTGGGGGGGGGGTGGGTTTGTATGGTCCATATTTCCACCTGGAATCCCCCCCAAAAAAGAAAACAAACTGTTCTGTAGAGAACTTAACACGGCAATCCAAAAAGGGGGGGTCCATCCGTGAATTTTTGCAGGGGAGTACCCCAAGGACAGGAGCATATGACAAGGGAAACAGTTTTAGTTGGTCGGTGGCTCGTCAACCAGTTTTTCCAGTGACACCTGGCGCATGCCGTACATTTTATTCATCACTGGCAAGCCTCTCCCTGGGCCTCCTTTTGGGATCCCCTGAGTTGGCCATACTAAACTACGCATTGGCAAGTGATCTAGTAAAAAGGGTCCAACAGTCCAACTTTAAATACGGCTTGGCATCTGACAGTTCGGAAGTGATTGATGAACCGTGCTAGAGTTCGCTTAAGTAGATCGCAGGGCCCGTCCTTCTTCAGGGACTTGTGAAGTTCAGCGTGCTCAATCCGAGTGTTTGCCGGACCCAAACCCAGGGCACACCAAAAGAAACATGGCCGTGGGTCAAAATCCCGCACCTGCAGTGAACATCCCAATCCCACTAAAATCCCGACTAAAATGGGTGGTGAATTCACCTACCCCGAAATGGTACCATTGGTTTTGACCCACAGCCACATCTTCATTTAAAAGACGCTTCACATTTTGGAAGTCCACAAAGCCCTCTTGCAAAACCACGTTCCATGTACAAAGGAATCCTGCGCGCCAAGAAAAAAAATGTTGGTGCCTGCATGGCCTTTGGACATGAATTAGGCTATCTTGGGGCCCTCTAACCTTGGCTTTCTGTTTGGTTTCAATGTGCGGAAAAGAGCCTCCCGAACTCCACTTGTGAGGGGGCGCGTGGCGGAGGTCTCTCCAGTTCAAGCCTTGCCTTGTTCAAGCGAGTAAACGCAACAGCGGCCCCAAGACGTCCCCGGCTCGCTCTTTTGTCCGCACGCAAATCCTTAAGAATGGCAGGTACAGACCACTCGGTCAAACGGATCCGACCCCCTTCAAAAGGGTTTTGCTTGAAAGCAACGCCTGTGTCTGCTCGTTCCTGTTGTATGTCTCTCCTTGGCAAGTCTCGTTGCTTGAAATAACGTGTGAAAAAATATCGGGGACCCTCCAACGAAGAAACCGGGTGGTTTCTGGTCACACAGCAGGCGAGGTCGCTAGGCAAGGGTCTGACCTTCTCGAGCTCTATTTGCTCTGGTTGTTCCTCGTGGACACCTGTGCCAGGGGACACGAAGAACCGTTGAAACCAACACTACCAAAAACAAACATGGAACCCCTTCCTGGAAGACCATGTTCCCTTTAAGGGTGCCATGTTTGATCTTAGGCGGGCATTAAATGCACCGAAAGAAAATCGCTCTTTTACAAACCCTGGGGGCAGGGGGCGTAAGGGGGCGTAAGTATTATTACGTACTGGGGGGAGGGATTTCATAATCACGATTGCAACATGTTTGAAACAGTTTTCTCTTGGCTTCTCTGTGGAAGAGGACTTCCATCTGCAAATGCGTGCCCTGGTCAGTTTTCACGCAAAACAACTGTAGTGAAGATACACCATATTCTAAGGCAAATGGAGGGGACCAAGGGCTGGTTGTTTGAGGTTGTTTAAACACCGGGCTGCCCTCAAATCCCCTGCGAAAAGTTTAACATTTTTAGTGGGTTAAATGGAAACCCCCACTAAACACTAAACGGCTAAAAGGCTAAGGAACCGGATGGCTGGGAGCGAGCCACCGAGAACATAGTTTGCACTCCGACCTGCACCACGCAGTCCTGGGTGAGGTTGAAGGAGTCGATTAGCTTGGGGCTGGCCTCAAGTTCTCAAGCAAACCGCAAAAGCGCTTGCTTTTGACTTGGTTGCTGGAACGACCCCCCTGCAACAAGTGAATCACTTTGGAGGTTTAGTGGACAACCCACATTGGTTTCAACCAAAAAGTTAAAGTCTAAAGATCCAACCCAATAGCAGTCAAGTTGACAACCTTTTGACAACCCCAATGCCGACTCAATACTAAACACAAGTTGGCCCAACCTGATACGCCCAAAAAGAAAAATGTTTACCTTCTGTTTCGGTTTCCGTGCACCTCAACATCTTTTCTGAGACAGTTGCTAATTCAGGAGCCAAAAGAGCTCAGTCGCAACCCAAAGGCCCAACCAAGTGTTGGGCCATGCGATGCACTCGCAAAGCTCACTCGCGGGGACCTAGTGCACATGTTGACGGGTGTGTTTGTTATGGGAGTCGTTTTCTTTGCAGCACCGTTTGGAGGGACATTCTCAGGAACCTTTAATGGACCCATACTACCTGGAAACACATTCACAATATCCCCTCACCGTGACTGCTGAATGAATTCGATGTCTGGCGTGAGGTATTGCCGTCGCCCAGGATTTTCATCACCTGGTTCGACCTTGCGCTGTGAGGTAGAGATCCCTCGCCTTTGGGGTCCGATGTGCACCTGGAAATCTGCAGGATTTCTATTCTTTTTTAGATATCAAGACCTGGAATCAGAATTGGGTCAAGCCAAGAACCGACTTATCCCCAAGCTCGCAAGTGAAAAAAACAACGACATCAGATGCAGATCCGATGTAGCAGTCGACTCAGTCACAAACTCGCTTGCACGGAAGCGGGACCTTGACACAAAACGTTATATCACCTTTTGGAACCCTTCCCAGGTCCTAGCTGCCACTATATAACCAACCATGTTCCTTCTGGTGTTTATATCGGGTGGCTTTGTTGGCTAGCGGCTGTACGGGGACATGGAATCACTGGGTTGACGAGCAACATGGTTGCAAATCAAAAAGACAACCAAGATGTCACGACAAAATGCACCAGCCAAATCAAAAACAACAACCAGGAGGTTGCTTCCCCCCGAAACTTGCTGGTGCTCAGTATGGAATGACCTTCCTTCCAGGTGTTGGGAATGACCGAAACGGGATTCCCCGAAAGGAATCCACAGGGGATGGTTTTTCTCGGGTCATTCCCTTTCTCCTTCCCTGCTTACTCTCAACGATGGGACACAGGGTCTCTTGAAAAAAAATGTGCAAACCTTCCCAGCCAAGTGCTCCTAGATTCCTCGGAATTCTTGGGAGCTTGCACCTGACAAAAACTGTCGCCAAAGGCTCATTTCCACCACCACATTATTTCCGGGTACTGAGGAAAGTGGCTGCCCCACTCAATGATTCTATAGTAGAATTGAGGGGGGGGTCTGGAATTGCTTAAGGTCCCATGTGTCCTTTTGTGGGGGAGACTGAACAAGTGGGTTTGTGTCAAAATCGATGGTCCCACAAACTGGGCTCTCCTATTTTTAGGCCACAAGGCTACCAACTCCGAAAGCAGGCTCTTCACATTTAGTCACCGCGAACTCGTGTTGCGTGCCGCAAGGCTCGCACATGGAGTTGCTTGAGACCCCCAACCATAGGTGTCCTTTTTGTGAAATAGATGGCCCTGGTTGATTGAACCAGGTAAACCAGGGAATCGCCCTCCATGGTTCAACCAAATCGACCAAAAAGGACACCTATGCCCCCAAGTCTGTCAGCTGAGTTGCGAAGACGGCGCGGCCAGTAAACTCGCAATCCCAGAGCGGGTCGGCGCGCTGACCTCGTTCTCTCAAGGCCTCAGGGCGTCGGAAATTCGGCGCGCGCTGGCCCCCAGTCGAATTCTTTAGGCTGGGCACCATATGGCCATGGTCAAAACCCAAATCGTACCCCCAGTGGACATCCCAATCCCCACCAAAATCCCGACTAAAATGGGTGGTGAATTCACATACCCCGAAATGGTACCATTGGTTTTGACCCATGGCCATATGGATGTGTCTTTTTCTTCGGGGACACCCCAAAATGGTGGTTTCTCTTTGGGTTTTCAAACCACCCAACCCAAAGAAAGACAGACCCATATCCCAAAAAGCGTGTGTGTGTGTGTGTGTGCAGTTTTGTTGGGAAAACCCCTTCCTAGCTTGGTTTCAAGGAATACCAAAAGGAAAGCCACCTTGGGGTCCTAATCTACCAGAATGGAATCCTAGGAGTTATGCGGCCCTGGTTGACTTTGATTGGCGTTCCAGGTGGACATGAGGGACAGCAAAGGACGGCAAAAGGAAAGCAAAGGACTTGCCTCTGCCTTTTTGGAAAATAGATGGGCCGGGTAGATTGAACCACCAGGTACACCAGAAATCGTCATTCTGGTTTGAGGCAACCCTGCCTTGTAGTAGGACCCGAAGACGTAGGCCGCGTTGTCCCAAACGCTGCCTTTGCCTCACACAGCTCGCTTTTGTTGGACTGGCCTGACAGGGCCTTCAAATGGGAGAAGCACCAAAACGGGTGGAATTTCTTGTGGTTCCCTTTAAACGGTGGGGGTTGGGACCCCTTTTTTTGGGGTGACCAGTTGGTCAACCCTCCTGGTCACGTGGCAAAACACGTTAAAATCGACAGTCACACAAGTGATTTCACGATTTGGCAAACTGCCCAGGCGCCAGATCCAATGCAAATGCCCTGCTTCGCAGAACCTTTGGACCTTCGTATGAAGGGGGTTGAGTGGGCTGGCAACACCGGCCTTGTCAAGAAGTGAAACAGGTTAATGATGATACATGTTTGGTCATGGTGGCATTCCTTCAACTGGAAGATGACAAACACGCACATGCACAACCACAGGCATCTGATTGGACAGGTTGCTAAAACTCGTTGCAAGCTTGCTGCGCAGACCTTGTCACAAGGGTACAGAGATGGCCCCGGAAATAAGTTTGGACCCAGTTGGTTTTGTCATTGCTCTAAAAGTGTGACAAACTGGCCAAAGGGCCAGTAAACACCAAAAATGCCATTTGGCCACCACATGGCGAGCGGGTTGTCCTGTTCGATTCGACGCCTAAGCAAACATGAAAGGAGGCGTTTAGCAAATATTGGGAAGGGCTCAACCCATTTTTTTGACACACAAGGCATGGCATGGTTTCCTACACCCTCTTTGGCTTACACGGCTTGGCCGAGGGTTCAACCCAACAGAGGAAATTGCCAAGAGGCAAAGAGGTCTTGTCTGGTCTTGTCTTGAAACCATGGCTCACTCCAATGGGAGATCTCGAGTTGAAATCCCTTTGGATTGGACCTCTGCCCTCGCCGATCCTGGGATTCATCCCCGAACTCCTCCCCAAAGCAAAGCCCGCAAAGAACGCTGCTAAAGTTCAACCCGCAAGGACTTGTTTGTTGTTTCCTCATGCTGGGAAAGGCTCACTTCCTGCAGGAAAAGTTATACTTTTGATTGCCACTCACATGGTCTCCAGGAACTCAGGGCAAGGTATACGACGTTTCCACCTGACCAATCTCCCCAAACGGCGATTCAGAAGCGGCTCTCTTTGCCCGGGCGCACTTCTCAGGGATAGTCTTGCAATCAAAAATCCCCTTGGAGCATACCACACCTCGGATAGCACACGCACAAAGGCACGACATCAATAAAAAGCCCAGCGGGTGTCGAGAACCAAGAAATGGCACCCTGCCTTTTTGTGTTGGTTGGTTTTCCAGAGCAACCCTTTCAACCTTCCCCAATCAAGACAGGGGTGGAATGGGACAAGCGCCGAGAAGCCGGCGTTATTTGTAACGTGTGGCCTCTGCCCGGAAAAAGAAGGCGCAAAAAACTGGAGAGCCGACTGAGCCCAAAGGAACAACTGGGCCCAAAGGGAACCGACTGAATCCCAAGCATGTGATGACCCGATTGCTTGGGTTGCTTGCAGTTTGGCTCCAAACGGGAGGGGAGTGGCTCCATAGACCAAAAATGGGGTGTTAAGATAGGGGAACCCTCCACATACATGCGTGTGCATATAGACATAAATACATAAATATATATATATATATATACATATATATATATATATTATATATGTATATACACGTGTGTGTGTGTATTGAACGCCCCTCTTTGACAAAAATGGCAAAAGGGTAGTGGTGGCAGTGGAGCCTGGAGGTCTGGGTATAAGGATCTCTTCAAACCAGGGAAAGTAAACGGATGAAGCAACCCGCAAAGGAGCCTGTCTGGCGTGTCATGACTTGTTTGGTTCAACTAAAAGCAAAACAAGATATCCATCTCCAACTGGGAGAAACATGGCCTGCCCCCTTGTGCCCACTGCAAACAGGCCGCCAGGCAGCCAGGCAGCCAGCCAACCAGCTAAAATGACCAAACGAGGAAACAACAACCAACCCAAACCAACAACAAACCAAACCAAACAATCCAACACCCCCTCCCTGCCACCCTGAACAATGGCCCTGCACCGGCTTACATGCACTCACCCCAAATGACCTGGAAATAACAGCTTTTTGGGGATGACTAATTTGGACAAACGAACAAGCGGGGATACGGAGGAAGCGGGGATATGGGGGGATTCCAACTTGGCGCCATATCCCAGAACAAACTTAGTCAAGGTGCATCAAACGGGGGAATCCTCCCGTATCCCCGGTTCCCCTGTATCCCTGCTAGTTGGTTTCCCTGACTCGTGGACCTTGGGAAAGCCACAAGTTGTCAAAAGCTCGGTTTTGGACACCGATTACGCCAGTTCACAAAGGAAACCGATTACGCCGGCAACTGGTCTTTCTGGGGAACTGGTCTGTCTGGGGAACCTGCACATGTTCAGATTCCGACTTGCTGAGTGGAAGGGCCAAGACAAGTCTAGGATCACCCTGACTTCCATTTTCTGGAAAAAGTAATCATACTTCCAGTAGTGATCTAGGATCCCTTCCAAACCAACGGAAATAGAACATGTGTATCTCAGTAGCTGGAAGCTTATATCCGTGGTCAAAAGTGGGCGACCACGCCCGGTCGCTTGGTGGGTAAGGAGGGGTTTCTCATTTACCCTCTACGAAAGGCCAGGGTTCAATTCCCAAACCACAAATCCACCGCCAACTAGGGGAAGCCTGATAGCATTGCGGGGGGGGGTTGGGGAACACTAAGACTAAGCGGGTTGAACATCCAAGTATAGAATGACCCCTCGATCGGTTTGGAGGGGGTTTCCCATTTAACCACCAATCCAAATTCAAACAAAAATGCTTGTTTACCCCAACTAGGGGATTCCTGACTCGAAGTGGTTGCAAAAAGCTGAATTAAGGGATTCCCAAGTAAAGGACCTTTATCATCGTGAGCTTGTTATACCACAGAATCGGTGAGCTCGCCATTCAATAGGCAGCAACAGTGACCCCTCGAAGGCGTTGCAACCAAAACAGCTCCGATCACTTCAAGCGAGGCGCCGATGGCGCCGCCTACCTCCCGTGCCTTGGCGGCCTTGTCCGGCACGCAGGCGGAGCTGGGACCCCAGTAGGCCCAGGAGGGGCGCGTGTGCAGCGCGGCCTCCGTAGCAAACAGCTCGCTGATTTGGTCTTTGTTGTTTTTGTGTTGTTTGCTTGCTTGCTGGTTTGCTGGGTGGATGGGTGGTTGGTTGTTAGCTGGTTGGTTGGTTGTAACTTTCCGCGATTCAGGGCCTGATTGAGGTTCCAGACCCTGAGCGGAGCGATTGTTGTATTTGAGCTTCAGGTTTCAGGAACCTGACTGATCCCAAAACCCTGAGAGCAAGAGCGTGATGGGGCAAAGCACCATCACACCTTGCCACCCTCTCTGCCGGTCAAAACCTCAAGCAAAACCTCTTTCAGGCCAGCTTTCGGGAAAACATCTTGCAACATCTGATGGCAACAACAGGAACGCAGCTGCGAATGAGACTGGGCAAGTTACTACAAGTCAAGCCAGAAGTGAGGAAAGCAATGGGCCCCCGAACCCAGGAGAAGCTAGGCTTAGGCTCCCTAGCTTCAGGAGGGCCCCCAAAGCAATTGGTCTAGACTTCCCCACAAAAGGGACAATGGCTCACCCCACTCACACAGATTTAAGGGTTTGATGGAGAAAAGCATTTTCCCCTTGGCAACTACATCAAGGACAGCCTTTCTTCTCAATCCACACGAATAAAACAAAGGTCCGTATTTTGCGCTTTCAACTAAAATTGTCTTCCCAAACGTTTTTTTGTTGTTTTAAGTTTTAACCAACAAATCCGGGGTTTTAGGACGTGTGTAGGAAACCTTAGGTAAAACTTAGGCCTACGCCTGGCTCCTGACACCTGAGGCTTCGCCGGAACGAAGCCTGGAGCTGTCGAAAGCTGCCCTCGAGGCCCAGCATCTTCTGGATGAAGTCCTCCTCAGCATGGGAAACGGGGACCGGGCCCCGGAGCTGGGGGAGATGGGGCCCCTGAAACAGCTGAAGCAGCTTCGTTTACTCTTAAAAAAAAAAAACACGGGGGGTGGGGGGGGGGAAGGATCCCTGCGGCGCCCTGCTTTTCCTTCGTCCCTCTGGGGACCGGCAAAAAGGGGTACCAACTGAACACACTTCTTACATAGCGCAGGGTGCATGTTGCCTACCCCAAGGTAGACTTCAACCCGGTTCTCCCTTTGGGGAAGGGCACCACCACCTTGGGGTTACAATGCAACCCTGACGACACATAATTATACATATAATCATATTTTATCTGCGCAAGTTGTACAATAATCCCAAAACCTGAAAAGAACAGATCCCGAAGTAAAGAACCTTATAATCATGGTGAGCTCGTTTTGAATATTTGATCCTTAAGGCCCCCCACAATTTCATTTTCAGATAAACAACCCCTCTGGACTCATAGTTGTACTTTTGTCTGACCCCGCAACCTTGTTTTGTGTGTTGTGTTTGCATGCGCTGGCTTGCTAACCCCAACAAGCCTTTTTCAAACCAAAGGGAGGCATGTGAGTGAACCATAATTCACCAAACTTACAGGAGCGGCCGAGCTTAGGATTATTTGACTTTAACAGGAAGATCAGCTGTCTGGATTGGTGGTTTGGAGGTGTTTTGGGTGTGGTTTTCCCGTTACGCTCCCAATCAAAAGCACCAATTCAGGGTAACCTGACCATCTGGTCAAATCGCCCAAAACAACGCCAAGTTGCAACAAATGTGCCCCAAGAAAGGAGCGCAAACCAGACTCGTAAGGTACACATTGCGTTGCCCGCCACTTTTGAGGAACCGTAAGGAACAAAGCCGACAAGCAATTCCTACCTGATCTTGTTGTAGTTTCACTGGACCATTTTAACCCTGAGTCTGCCCTGTTTGTTGCTTGTTTTGAGGTTCTCATGCTATCCACTTGAACATGAATGCAAAACAATGGCTCCCTTCTCCCCTCTGTCGGGAGGAAAATGAATCATTTTTAAACAGGGATCCTTACATTATACACCTGAACATTGCCTTGTAAATGGTGGCTTCCTTTTATTTTGGTGGAAAAAGCCATGTTTCAAATGGGCAAAATGTATCTTTTAAGGAGCCCTGTTAAAGGCACCCTTCAAAAGACCTTTTATGACCGTTCGCGGTCCTTTTCAACTGCCAGCACAAATATCTTCCCAAGACTCCAGGCTCCTTTTTTTGTTTAGCTGATCTTAAAGGGAACTGCCTCCCATCAAAAACAGCGAAAGGTAACCCTGGCAACCCTTCTTTCGTTTTGCCTGATGATACAGTTTTCTGTTGTTCCCCTTGGGAAATCTGACACGCTTAGCGCCTGCCTCGGGGTCAAATGGCTTTGCCTCTCAGGAACCCTAAGTGTAGCCCTTTTCAACTTGGCCCAATCCTGGGGGACACCAAAAATGTATTTCGGCTTAGGCCTTCTATCAAACCAGTTCACCTTATGTTCTCACATTCGAGGTGCATATTCAGCAAACCTTGAGATAACACATAATAATATTGCAGGAAACAGGCCAGCACCCCTTTAGGTAACTTTTCCAATCGGAGCCGAAACCGGCGCCAGGTCGGCTGTCCATCACAAAGAATCGAAACATCGTCTGTGTCTTCCTTTACATGGCCATGGGTCAAAATCCCAGTCGTACCTCCAGTGAACATCCCCACTGCCCCCCTAAAATAGGTTCTAAAATGGGTGGTGAATTCACCTACCATTTAATGGGATGCCATTGGTTTTCACCCCCAGCCACATGCCTTTATATCCCATTTCCTTGTTCCGGTCCTGCCCACGTCTTTCAATCCTGGGAAAATTTGACTTGGATCCCTAAAAACCGGCAAGCCGACGGTGATAAGCCGTGGTTGCAAGCCCCCAAATGTGCGATCACCAGACCTAGCAACCCTATTCAAAACAATGAAATCACCTCTACCCGATTTCCAGGATCCCGCTTAACATATATGGGCTTGTCGAATGGGCCGCCAGATATGTCCCTGCCAAACGCTTCCCTTCGAGTGGGTCACAAGCAAACCACCACTAAACCACCCCCAAAAAAAAAAACGCGCCCCATGCCCCAAAAGACCACCGAGAATAAGTTCCCGCCCACCGACCCACCGGAAGATTTCCCCTGTAGGGGAGAGGGGGGGGTGGGGGGGCGCCCAATTCCATTGATCTAGTCCCAATAAAAGGGAAAATGGAACCAGATTTCTGAATTTCCAGGGGTCGAATGAAAGGGGTGGGGATGCCAGAAGTTCCCCTGCCCCAGGCGCCGGCACTTGGCCGTTTTGCATCTCCCCGCCCGTGTGCTCCACCGTCCGGCGGATGAAAATCCTCATGGCCGTGGGGTCCTGGTCGCTCCTGGCAAGACTCCATTCGCGTTTTTCGGTCCCTGAGAAAAACAATTCCAGTCCAGGTCCTCCAGTTTTTTGTCTTCAACTAAAATGGTCTTCCCAAACGTTTGGTGTTGAGACAAAACCAGCAAATCCAGGGCCTTAGGACGTGTAAGAACTGGGCCTCCTATCCAAGGACATGGAATCAGAAAAAGGAAGCTTCTAGCCTGGGGTTTTGGTTCAGAGGGTCGGAACAACCCTTCAACCAAAAAGAGCTACACACGCGCAAATACCCTCCTGGGCTGTCCGCAGATCCCCCACAAAAGGTGGGCCTAACTTTTCGTGGGCTAAATGGACAACCCCACGAAACACCAAAAAGCCAAGAAGCTAAGGAAGCGGACGGCTGGGAGTCACTGAGTTGCGCTTTCGCCCCCCTGGGAAAAAGAAGATATGTCCAGTAGTGATCGACTCCTTTTAAGAGCAACAGGGGGGAAATCAACAAAAACAAATATTCTTAAGCACATGGAAGATCACACAAATCGGATCCAATGGTCCAACAAAACGGGATCCAAAGATTGAGGGAGCCAACCATCAGTATTCGCCATCCAATTGTGAGGGGCAGAACTGTCCAAGGAAGCTTCATCACCCTCTTAGACTTGGGAGGCTGGTTGCAAAGGGTGCTATGTCCTACAATTACGCTGTAAACAGCACTCAATCAGGCAAACTACCACGATTCCATAAAAAAGGCTTGTGCATGGATGTATATGCATTAAGCCTGCGAATCTAACCTCCCGACAGCAAACACCTGCATATTCTACAAAGATTCCAACATCCCAGGTAAACCAACCGTCGTGGTGAGTTCGTTTTATCCCTGTATTGAGCTCGTCATGCAAGTGCACATAACTAAAACGTATTGGCTATACTATAAGGGCGAATGTAATTGGACTTTGGTTGTGGTGGGGTGTGCCAAACTAGAATCACAAAAAGAGTCAGGTCTGGATCTACCAGGGAACTTGGTTCTGGCAATGTGTCATATTGATACGTCCAACGGAGGCCTGTCAACAGGGCTCAAGACAAAGACACAATCGCCTCACACACCATGGTTTCAGGTAGATCAAGCTCGGCATGGAATGACAACTAGGGGGTCTGGAGAAGTCAAACGATCATTCCCTGGTGGCGTTCCTTTTGGAACGTTGAAAGCCAAAGGTCCAAAAGCTCGATTGCCTTTGGGCCCACCGTAAGGGGTCGGGTAGGGCTGGTTGGGGGGGGGGATACCACTTTTCTCGTTGTCCTCTAGCCTTCCCCGAAATAGAAATCAAATTGCAGGTTGAACAATCCCCTAATAATAAACGCGCCCCCCCCAATCCCAATAAAACATACTCTCTGGGGGAAAAACCTATTCATTGACAAGGTCCTTTGGGGTCGACCGGATTTCCTCTTCGGTCCTCGTCCACATGGGCTTTTCCCTTCCCGGACGGACACGCAAAACTTCAAAACCGCAAATTTCCGAGTAATTCAGATAAAACCCTTCAAGGTTGTTCTCTCTTTTTTTTTGCGGTTCAAAAGCAAAAGGCACAGCTTAAACTTAGAATTACAATTCAAGAATGTAAATTAATAAAAGGTACTTATGCATTTGAAAAGTAGTATTGCGGACTGCGGACCCGGCTGTTTCAGCCAGTCTGAAAGAAAGTATTTAGTAATAGGGTCCATGTATTAAAAGGGGGAGTGGATTAAGCTCCTCCTACCAATAGGGTGTCACTGTGTCACCCACAAAAGTGCAGGAATGGGGACGCCTCCCTGTGAATCAACCGGTGTTGTCGCATAAAAAAAAAAAAAACGGGAGTTTTGTTTGTTTTAGCCCCGGTCCAGATGAGGTGAAAGCCGTGCTGGGTGATGAAGACCTTGTTGGGGTCGCTCCAGCCCAAAGGCACCACACACTCGGGCTTCAAGGGCGACTTCTTCCAGATGCTCGAGCGCACGAACTGGGCGGAGCCATCCAAGTAGCCTCAGCTTGGGCCAGTTTTCAACGCCAGGTCCAATTTTTTGGTCTAGGAATTTCGCTCTCGCTTGGCAAACGTTTCTAGGGAGCGTCCTCTTTTCGGCCAGTTGATTTCCCGCAACCCGGGGATTCGACGCGGGGGGAAGCCATGGGGTCACCTACCTTCAGCGATCCAAGGACACGAGGCGGACGATACGGTTGCAGGTTGGGCGCGAAGGCCCTCCCGTCGGGTCGGACACCTCAACCCAAAGCCGTGTAAAACAAAACATTTCCAACACGTGCCAATGAGTTTCGTTTGTTGTTGTTGTCGTTGTTTTGTTTTTTCTTTTTAATGGGGGGGGGGGGGAAACTCCCAAGCTGAAACTTACTTCCTGAGTGGATTGGCCCAAAACACAAGATGCCACTATGATTGTCTTACCAAAAAGTACAAAGTGCAGGACCTCAGGGAGTGAGGGAACAAAGTATGGAGCATTGGGTGTCAAGCCGTCGATCCCAAGCGAGGAGCACTGCTGCAAAGGCTTGGGCGGCGAATCTCGGGCATACACCAGCTCCTCAGGCGGGCTCGTCCCAAGTTGCAACGCTTTGCCTCTGGGATTCGATGAATAAAAAACCAACAAGAAGAGGCACCCCCCAAATGGTCTTCCTAAAGGGGTTTGCGTACGTCCATGTTGTTGGTGGGAGGGTGCTTGTTGGTCGGTTTTTGAAACCTCGGCACAGAGGACATAAGGCTGGAACTCGATGGAACAAATGAGGCACGGCAGCGCTTGGCCTTTGCCCTTGCAATAACTTGATGCAAAGGCAAAGTGACAGCCTCAACATGTGGCTGTGGATCAAAAATAGGTGCCCAAAATGGAACCCTGATAAATGGAACTCAGGACTAAACCCTGCGGTCCATTTCCTGGTGGTTTAATTTTGACCCATACCCATGTGCCGTGTTGATCCCTTTTGATGGATCGGCAGGGGCACGCACCCCCAGAGCATTTCGAGAGCACCTTGCACTTTTCTATGGGTTGATGTATTTTCCATTCTTTTCAACCATCGTTCTTTTCAATAACCGGATCTGTTTCCCCAGGGTTTTGGGTGGTTTTGGAAAGAAGGATGCCTGAAAAGAATGGAATTGGAAGGTACCCCTCGAACTTTTGGTCTTTGGCTGAAACTCTTCATACACCCTAGTCCAAGATCCGCACGAACCTCCAGCTGGCAACTCAGTGGATGGACGAAATCCTGCACCACTTTAAAACCATGGTTGAAACCATCCCGTTTGTTGGTATTTACGGTGGGGAATCGAATCATTCCAGGGTTTATGAACGGTTGTGCTCACGGAATCTGCCGGGGGGGCTATGGGGGGGGGCTATGGGGGGGGGGGCAGGATAACCCAAAAATCAACCCTTACTAAGGCCTCATTCAGGGCTTGATAAGGGATAGCCCCTCCCCATAGCCTTTCTTGGGGGTCTATGTGCGTTGGATTGTCGCAAGCCCAGAGTTGCACCAGTCCTTGAAGTGCATCCCAAAGGTCCAGGAGGCCGCGTTCCAGACGCTCCCCTTGCAGCTCGGAGGCATCTGAGAGCAGTCCGCATAGCCCAGCCCACACACGTAGCCTCACGGAGAAAAAAAGAAGAAGAAGAAGAAAACGATGTGCGGTTCTCAGATTGCGGGAATGTCAGCTAGGCTCTATTTGGTGGTTCGGTGGTAGTTCTCATGCACCCGGTGCAAGAACCAGGGGTTTAAACCCCCAAACCCGCATCCAAACCACCAACTACAGGGAAGCTGAGACTTGAATTGGTTAAACAAAAACGATGCGCTGAACCATCCAGCTGGTGTTGTCCTAAGCCCCAGAATTTCCTTTCCAAAACCCGTGAAACTCGGTGAGAACCGGCAGCGGAAAACATATTCGGGGGCCGTGGGGAAAAAGACTTAAACTATGTGATCAAAATAATGAAACACACATATTATGGACACAATCATGCAACAAACACATGCATACTACACATGTACGAACGACAAACACACAGGCTGACCGAAAACCAATCAACACACACCCCGGGCGGCTTACGGCAAGTGTGCGCGTCGCGATTTACATACTTAAACTTACCCTATCCATTGTGGTCGGGACGCAGCCCCAAAAAAACAGATTCTCAAAATAAAACTTAGCTTTGAGAACCCCTCAATATTTTACACACACACACAATTGTAGTTTCCCTGTACCTTCCCTTTCAATCCTCCAAACATGAGGGGGTTTTAGGCACCCTCAAAAAAAGACAGACCCACACGTAATGTTGAGCGACATTGTCTACAAGTTTTACAATATTTCCAAAACGTAAAATAAGGGGTCCCCAAGTAAAGGATCCTTATCATGTTGAGCTCGTTTTTCCCCGAGGTGAGCTCGCTACAAATCATGCAGGCAGCTGCTTCCATGGGTGGCCTTTTGAAAAGTATAGATGGCTGATGCAAATGGAATAAACCCCATCTAAACCTATTTTTAACCAAACTGACCTAAAAAGGACACCTGCTGCTTCTCGCACGTCGTTGTTTCGGGTTGAAGCGCTTCAAAGCGGCCGATCTTTCCTCCAAGGGAGGACTCGAGGGCATGGGCGTCCACGGTGCACGCGGAAAAGGTGTCCCACCTACTCGCGGCTCGAACGCGAGCCAAACCGGAAGCAGGGACTTCAAACAATCCCCACAAAGGTAACCCAGAAAGTCTTGGACTAAACAAAGTTTAGTCTTTGGACTTCCTGGGGTAAGACTTTAAGGAGGAACTTGTTTGCTTTTGAACCCCTTAAAAAGTAAACCACAAACACCTCCCTTTCGCTTGAAACCAGCAGAGGGGAACTCACAGACCGGTGGGCCGGTGGACTTTTAACCACCAGCCCCAACTCTCGAGCAAGTTGCGACCGCCAACCTAAGGAAACCCAAAGGCTATGGCGAACAAAATCCCGGCCCTAAGCATCAGAAAGGACACTCCATTGAGGGGGGAAAGGGACCTCCCAATGGTTCCGGTTCTGGGCTTCATTTCAAGGGCCTCAATAGGTGTCCTTTTATGGCCCTAATGGTTGGCATCAAACCCAGCTAAAGCAACCCCATCTACTTCCAATCACCGGTGAAAAGGACAGCTATGACCATCATGTGGACAAAAACTCCGCCCATTGAGGGGCTAGGTCCTCCAGAATAAGGGTGCCAACTTGTTTCAGTCGATTTTAGTAGAGTTGAACCCTCCCCCCAAACACAGAAACGGTAAAAGGGCACCAATCGCTGGGAGCCCTGGGGGGGGGAAGGGGCCTCCCAGTGGCCTCTCGCTTCATTCCAAGGGAAGCCTTCGATTCGAACGGCGAAACGGCACGAGCAGCTTCGAGAAGCTTCACGCAGCCTGGCCCACTGGGGGTGCGCCGTGAGTAGCTCTTCCAGGTCGTGGTAGTTCGAGTTGGAGCCCGGCCCTCAGATTGGACCAACGGCTGGCGTTTTTGATTGTTTGTGTGTTTGATGGTGTTTTTTCCTCACGTTGTTTCCTTTGTGTGTGTGTTTTGCTGTTGTTTGTTCCTTGTTTGTGTCGCTTGTTGCTTTTTGTTTGGAGGGGGAGGGGCGCATACTTGGTTCTCAATTGCCACCCAAATTGCAAACTGAAAGGTCCGAAGGTTGCCCACAGCGCTTTCGGGTTGGTGTTCAAGGCTTAGAGGTCGCCGAAAGCTTGAGACAAAGCAGTAGTAATGCGACAAAGCTGACAAGAAAAAAACAAGAGAAATAAAAGAACGCCATCACCAATTCCGAAATGAAAGGTATCATCACATTTGGGGGAAAACACGTTTGCAGCCAAAGTTGCTCAAGTCTCAAAACGGGACCCCCTCATTGAAATGATTTGGAGATGATTTGGAAGCTTTCTCTTTCCCACGCGCGCTTGATTGTTTGTTGCCGCATCGACAATTTAGAGCTCTTGACCCAGTGGCCTAATGGGCAAGGCGTTGCTTATGCTTTGTGGAACTTGTGTCCGTGCCCGGTGCCCAGCAATCAATTGTCCCTGGGTCGCTTTGTTGTTTGTTTGGTTGGTTGCCGACCCCCCGAACAAAAGAGAAAAAAGCACACCAAACTGTCGATGGAGTTTGCCGAAAGCATGGTCTTTCTCAAAATGGGGGGAGCCCCTTCTGCGCGCTTCAAAGGAATTTGTTTAAACAAATCAACCACTCCGGGCCTTTACCAAAGACACACCCCAATAGAAAGCTGCAAACTTTGAAAGAGGTTATCACTAACTAATAGCCCCTAAATGCCAAAGTCGAAAAACTCTCCACCTCGTGGTAAGCAGCAAAGAACACAAATATTGGCAGCCCAACATTAACATGAACAGAGCAAAAAAGTGCTGGATGCAACACACAAACAAACTGCCGGAGGCCATTCTGTACTGAGTTGCCACCCGCCGTTGCACATTGTCCCAAACGCATGCTTTGGTTTTGCTTTGCAACTTCGATGTTCCTGTTTTGTTTTGTCCTGGGCTGAACTGGTTTCCCACCTGCCTTTACATCTTGCCCGGACATATTCTTCTACATCTGATTCGATTGCCACTTCGAATGCCACTTGCTGGTTCACCGTGGGGAGGGGGGGAACAATACCCACGAAAAGGACTTGTCTAGACCAGTGTGAAAAACAGCATTCGGTCTCTCAAGTTTGTGGTACGGGTTTGATCATGGTTCTGAAAGTTCTGTCCATTGTTCTGGACGCTGAACGGCTGTGGGTCAAAAATGCGCATCCAACATCCCACAACCAAATATCATATTGTTTACAAACCCTTTGACGCGAAGGCACGGAGGAAGAGCTCGGCAAACTCCTTTGGCACGACGAAGGGCACGAAGCCACCTAGCCTTAGACACCCCGAAGGCATTGCACCACAACCGAACCATTCCGCAAAAAACAACCCTATGGCAATCCCAAAAAAGGGGCGCTGGTACCACCTCGTGCCACTAAGCCTCCTCTGATTGATTCTTTTCCGAGCGAGGGCAACCCTGCCCCATGGAACCTGCAAAGCAAAGTCCCAAGGATACATCCAAAAACCACCTTTTCGACAAGGGATCCTCTAAATCAGCTGGTATACTCTCTAACTGGCACAAATGCAATGCCAGCTTCGGACTAATGTAGAGGACCGTGCTAATCAAGCTTCCTCGTTTAGCACAGGAATGATCCATTTAGAGGGGCTTCTAACTAGCCCCACCCCCCAGCCCCCGACGAGCCGGGCCCAGGCACTTCTCCACCACGCGCTCGATGAACTGCTGCATGGAGGTGATGTTCTGGAGCCCCACCTGGCACTTTCACTTGGTTTCTCGACCCCTGGAAAAAAACTAAAAAACATGTCTGGTAGTGAAATCCTTCCATTTGGTAAAAACACCTGGATTTTTGCATGTCCAGTCGTGAAATCGATACCCTTTAAAACCAAAAGGGGAAAATGAAAAACATGTTCTTAAGAAAATAAAAAAGCAAGCAACAATGTGGCAAACCTGCTTGTCCAACATGGGGCACCACAGTGCAAGGACCTGACGCATAAAGGCGCAAACAAAGTGTCTCTCAGAATGACTTGTTTGTTTCTGTTTGTTTTTTTGTTCTCTCTCTCTCTCTCTCGCTGTGTCTCTCTCTCTCTCTCTCTCTCGCTGCGCCATCCCGAAAGAGCAGTTGGGGGTCCGCCGCTTCTCAAAAGCAGCCAACAACCAGAGCTCTCAAACCAACCCAGCATTTAACAGGTCAGTGATCACAACGCCCTGCCAGCTTGTTTTGTTGTTTTAGTATGTCAGCTGAACTGCCTTAGGGCTTGCGTCCCTCCATTCTAGCGGTGCTGTAGATCCCCCAGCTTTAAAAGCATAACTTTTAATATGCGGGGAGATGGGAGAAACCAAAAAGCTAAAGTCTAAAGATCCAACCCAATAGCAGTAGAGCTAGTTGTTTAGACCCTCATGTTACCTTGGCCCATTCGGGTGTGAATCTTGATTTGGGACCCTTCGGTGGTCAGTTTCCAGGACTTTGTTTCCTCATTTTTTTCTGGGAAATAATGTTGGACCCCCAGTCTGCACAGGTGACCGAAACTGGGAAAATGGATGGGTTTACCTGGTTGGATGGGTTAAAAAGGAAAATGGATGGGTTGGATGTTTCACAGGAAAATGGATGGGTTTACCTGGTTGGAGAGAAAAAACCCAGCTAAACCAGTGGAACCCATCTATTTCTAACCAACCAGCCGATCAAAAGGACGCCTATCGTAGTCTGCCTTCCCAGTGCCCAAATTGAAACAATTTGGATTGGAGGAGGCCTTGCAACCAAAGGGCCCGGAAATGACACGCGGCGGAACTTCTAACCATGCCGTATGCTGCATGCACCCTCCAGGGATCCTTTGGGGAAGTGAGAATGTAGAAATATGCACATGCAAAACAACACCGTATATCTATATGCAAATAAACACACATGGTTGCATCTGTCTGTCGAGTTGTTTTTGTTGATTGTTCCCTTAGTTTATTGAAACATGTTTATTCATTTGTCGCGAAATGTGTAGAACATGTCTTGAGCACGCCTTTTCCGCAGATCCACCTTCCGAAGCCCTGAACAACCGCCCCAGTGATGAACAAGCGCTCCATCTGGATCTCGGGCGGGGGGGGGGGGGGAACACCGGGCAACGTTATCTCAAAAAGTGGCGCACATACATATTTTTCACAACTCTCGTATAAATATACATTATGCATACTCTTGTCTGCGAGCATCATAAATTGTCCATGGGAACCTGAGATGAACGGAGAATCAACCTGTAGCTTATCCGGGAGATGTCGTGATTCCTGCTAACGGCAAGCGAGCAATTGGCGCAGTGGAGCGGTCTGCAATTCTCGTACTATTGTTGGGTTCCTTCCGGTTTCCCCTCAAACCATCCTTCCATTTGCTTAAGTCCCTGCAAAAACATGAAAACAGTTCCAATTCCCTGTAAATTCAGCAAGGGGACACATAGCTTATTCTTAAGCAAATGGAAGCCATCCGAAGAGAAGCAACAAAAAACCTCCTGCATGCTCAGAACCCTGGCTTCCACTCACTTCCCCAAATCCAACCCAGGCGTGGCCCTGTCAATACACACTTTCTGTGGATGGACGAAATTAATGTCGCACCGCCAAAAAGCCAAACGGAATGAGTCAATTCCCCAACGCACTTACTGTAGATGACAACAAAATCATGGTTTCAACCAGGGTTCCTTAAAGTGGCGCGAAATGGATTTCGTCCATCCACACAGTATGTTCACTTCTGCCCGGGAAATGATATGTCGCAAGGCGAGCTTTAGGGTACACACCCTTCCCCATACCTTACATACAGGGCAAGTATCCTGTCTAACCCTGCATGGGACCCAAGAGACACAAACAGAACCCAAACAAGCCAAAAACAAAAGCAAACACGTAAACTTTGAGGCGGACAGCAAGTATCGGCAAAACTGATACGCTTCGCCCGGGCCATCTGTCTGAAGCCGTGCTTGCTCACCACCACCTGCCGAAGAGCCGTTGTTTCTGCAGCAAAAAAAATAGTTGGAGCACTTCTGGGGGTTGTGGAACTGGTCCAATCTCCAAACACCAAACCAATCTCCAACCATCCCCTTGTTGGACCCCGGCGCCGGTACGTGCAGCCCCTCAACAATACCGGAATCTTAACTTGAACCAACTAGAAGCTTCACAAGAGCCGTTGCGGCTTGCCAGGGATTGGTCCACCCGCTGCTGCACCATGGCTCAAACCTCGAGGTCTGATCTGAGGGGGCATCAGGGAACGAGGGGGTTGCAGCCCCACTTGTCTTTTTCCTTTGAAGGAACCCAGGGCAGCTGGTTGTTTCAACAAGCTCCGCAAGCAACCATGGCGACAGCCTTCTCTTGGCCCAACCTCACTTTTTCGTTGCATCATACATGGCTGTAAGTCAAAAAAAGGTACCCAAAATGGAACCCTGGTAAATGGAAACATGGACTACAACCTGCGGTCCCCTAGTGGTTTAACTTTGACCCACACCCACATAGCTAACCCTAAATTGCCAGGAGAAGACGCCCCAACCAAAAGCCTCTGGCTCAACGTCTCTCTCTCGCTCGCCTGCTGGGGGTTGGGCATGCACAAGCGCTTCGGCTCGATGCCCGGGCCCCCGTAGGCCGTTGTGAGCTGCTCGGCAATGGTTCGGCTCCCGTCGAAGACGGGGCCTCAAGGCGAAAGAGCTTGAAGCAGTCAAGGGTCAAGGGGTCAAAGACACACCCAGGAACCCACACCCCATGTGAGGGTCGAAAGACCCCTTTTACATGCAGCAGCCCCTGTAGAAGAAATAAAAGGAACCTTTCAAATGGTCCCTAATTACAAAAGAAACGATGCCCATGGCCCGCATTAACCAGTTTTGAACCCAGCGCACGGGAATATGTCGACCCTGATTGATGAAGTGCAATCAGAGTGCGCGAAAGTGAAGGATTCCCACCCCCCGATGAATCAGGTGCGGGTTGATCCCCCTAAATGGGCCACTTTTTTAAATTGGGTTGTCCAGGGTGGAATTCAACATCTTTCCGAATGTAACGTCTGAACCCAGGGATTCGTCTTTCCAGACTACCGTTGGCTGTTCGAAAGAAGGATGGTTGCACAGAACGGAGAGCAAACCAGATCCCAAGGGAAAATTCAAGCGGGACCCTGTCCTAAAGCGGACAACAGGTTCCGCGCTGCTGTCCAACCTAATGTAGGAACAGGCAAGGTGCGGCCTTTTGCTTTTGTGAAAACGGTAATGTTGCAACTGCCAAGTGGCTTCAGGGTTTATATATATATATATGATATATGTATAGATGGTTGCTTATTTTTATATGTATGTACCAAACACATCTAAACACATGGTGGACCGTGCTGCTTCCTGTTGAAATTCCTACAACCAACAAAGGGTACCCACAAACAAAGGCGCTCAGAGCATAGACAGGCTTGCGCAACAAGCCGGGGTACCCACCCCAGGCTTCGGCGCATGAAGTGACATGCGATCAATGAGTTCAAGTGACCCCAAGTGTCACAGGAAATGACGACTTGCCCCCTGGGGTATGAGCCCAGGACATTGAACAACAACATGCATAAATAAATAATAAAAACAAACTAAATGAATAAATTAGTTAATAACAATAAATAAAACGATAAATATACATATATGTGTTCAGCCTTGACCTTGATACCTCATATTTGGACACCCCGTTCCCGGTCTTGTTACACTTAGAGGCCAGGCCCTCAGTTTGAAGGAAAGCATGCCTAGATATGCCTAGAAGGTCCGTAGGCTTCATTGCCATTTACCTATTCACCAGATCATGTCACTGAACATGGCCCACACCAACCTAGCGCGAACGACAAGCTTCAGAGAGCCTGCAAAATGGATTTCGGCTTCCGCTCCCTGAACAACCGACCGGGGGTAACCCCCAATCCAAACCAACAACTAATTAAGAGTTACCTGAAACTAAAAGCTAGTCCAAATAGCAAACCTTGCCGGGTTCAGGCTTGTTGAAACCAGGGTTAGTAAGGCTCTGGTGGTAAATAGGGGGTCTAGAAATATTGAACAATGTCCAATCTGTTTTTTTTCTGTGTGGCTATGGCCCCAGGCGCAAAAGGGGGGAAAAAAAAACAAGTGCTTTCCCAAGCAGGTTAAGGTTCAAGACCCAGTGGCAAACACGCTGTTGTTTTCTTTGTGAAACCATTTCCTACCGGCGATTTCGTAGGCAGCTTATGCTCACGTTGATGGAAACCCAATCCCCCCCCCCCACCCCCCAAAATGGGTGGTTTTTCATTGGCTTGTTTCCTTTGAGCCGATCACAAAAAGGGCACCCTGGACCAACTCCATGAGGATTGTTAACATATCCCCTGGAAAGAGGGTGGTTTCCCTTTCAACCCCGAAAAAGGGGGCCCAAACATTTTTGAGAACCTCCCCCTTAAACAAATAATAATAAAATAAACCAACACAAAAAAAACAACAAAAACGGGCCCCGAGATCCCTGAGATGCCCGAGCCCAGGGGCTAAGGCAGGGAACTGAGGATGAGTACTCCTGGAACTCCACCCGGAGCTTGGAGGAGTTGTCCTGTGAAGCGACTTCACCCGGAGCCAGGCGCGTAAAAAATTGAACCCGATCCCGGCACACCCGAGAATGGCTGAAACGGAGTATCCAGCCACGGACACAAATGTTCCGGCCCCAAATTCCGTCTGCACCAGTTCGTGGCTCATCGGGCTTTACTTCTCCCAACTGGTGCTGGATTGTGTCGTATCACCCCAAAAAGAATCGCTATTCACATGGGACCCTTGGGAGGCATCGTTTACATAGTAGCTATTTATAGATAATACGAATCCTGTACTAAACATGACCATCATGACCCAAGAATCCTGAAGCAACAAAGCAACCCCCTCATGGCCAGCTTGAGCCATGTCCTGCTGCGGGTCGAACATACCCCAGACCAAGTGCCCCGCTTGGTCGTAGCCTCGAATCGGTGCCATGAAAGCTGAGAAACCCTCAGGGGCTTGTCTTTTTTGAGACCCCCAACATGAGTGGTGTACTTCCACCTCCCCGTGAAAAGCCAAGCCCCTCCAGGGTTCCCAAAAAAAAGCAACAACAACAAGACAACCCACATGGCGATCAAATGGTCAAAAGAAACTCATGTCACGGTCAATCAAACAAAACTAAATGGCTATCGCATGGTACCCAAAGTCTCACTGCCTGAGTGGATTGGCCAACAAGTCCAGAAACTGTCTGTCTACCCACTTAAATGGTCCAAGACCATTTAGTGACTAAAGTCAAGAAGCACAGGGAGTGGGCATCCAGAGTGGATTGCAAGAAGTCTGAACTTTGCATTCTAGTGCCTTCCCCAAAAGTATCACGCACAAAAACTGCAGTGGACAACCCTTTGGCTCCTATTTGCCATGACAAAACAAAGTTCACATTGTCAAGACAACGTGAGCAACAGTAGAGTTGAGTGTACCTTAAAATAGGACCCCCAAAAATGGTGGGTTTACTCTCGGTTTCCCTTTAAACCCACCCAAAACGGGTGCCCTCAAACAAACATGAAGTAACAACAGGTTTTCGGGCTGGACCGTTTTTAGCGGTCACCCTTCCAATGGGTCCGGGGGGGGCGGGCTACTCCTCTATCAGTCTAGGCTCGGCCAGAAATGCCTCATGCAAGGTTCGAGGGGAATGGACTCCTCATGCCCACCCCCCTGTGTGTTCAGCTCGATGTTGTTTGACCCAGCCTTGGGTTCCGCCAGCAAATGGAGATTTTGTTTCGGTGCTTCTTTCGTCGATCCATATCGCAGTCCCTTGGGGTTGGCGAGTGACTCTTTGACAGGGCATTTGCCCTGGCCTAGACTTATAGAGGAGTAGCCCTCCCCCCCCACACTAAAAATTGCCCCGCTAAAAATTACTTCTTTGTGCTTTTGTCTTGCCCTACGGGGTCACAAGCGGGGGTACCCCAACTGATCCAAGGGCACAGCAAGAACTGCAGCCATGGGCTCTTCAGTGGAGCCGCGCCCAAAGAAAGTGGATTGCACCTTTCGACTTTCCCCCATTTTTGGGGTTGCCCATGGAGTCAAAGTTCCCTCCTACATCACAAAATGTCCCCACAGAAACCAGGTCTCTCACGAAATGCCGTGCCAGGTCTCCTCCAAAACTACTTTGTCTTGCTGGCGACAGCTAGGGAATTACCTTTTCGGTGCTGGGAATGATTCCCATTTCGGGGATTCCCTTAAGGCCTTAAGGGAAACCACCAGTTGGATGGCATTCATTCCATTTCTCATTCCCTGCCTATGCAAGTTGCAAACCATCCGGAGGTTCAGGGGACCCCCCCAAATCCGGCTTTCCCAAACCTTCTCGAGCTTCTGGCGGGTGGTTGAATCATTAATCAACAAGGATCCTTACATTATACACCTGAACATTTCCTTGTAAATGGCGGTTTCCATTAAATCTTGGTGGAAAAAGCCAGGTTTCAAATGGTTCCAAAATGTATCTTTTAAGGAGCCCTGCTTTCTCCTAACATCCCTTGGCAAAATGCACCAAAGAATAGTACCCGAAGTCTGATGAAACGTCTCGGTCCGAGCTGCGGTTCTGGAACTCGAAGAAGCTGACGCCCAGCAGCAAGGGCGAGCTCTGGGCAATTTCCAGGATCTTCTGCAGGTCCGCCTGCGACAAGGAGAGGCATTTCTCATTTGCCCTTCTTTCCTGCGGACAGTGGAGGTCGGGGCAATGTCTAGCTCATGTTCAAAACACCCCCACCCGCTGGGAAGTGGCATTGAAGTGGTTTCAGCAAGCTAAAATGACTTTCCCAAACTATAAGCAGGGAGTGAGATACTAGAAGTCTGGGATCGCGACTCTGCGACCTCCTATGCGCACTCGTTCTTTCAAAAATCAGCTGTTTTCTCATGGTTTTCTAGAAAGAAGGATCCCTGGAAAGAATGGGGAAGCTACCCTTAGGGCCAGGGGAGGTTTGACTTTGGAATCGGTTGATCCGGCCAGGCTCCAGATCTGCCTAAAAACCAACCCAACCCAAACCAATTGGATCGGCCTGCGTATCTTTATTGTAGGGGTCATGGTACTCGGCGACGAAGATGGGCGTGGTGGGGAAGAGCCTCATCCGAGAGGTTCCAACACGCACACCGCCTGGCCCTCAAATAGGGACAATGGGGTGAATCACCATCACATCAAGATGAGATTATGAATTCAAAGTAGCTATACTCCATTTTGCCCTGGATGTCTTGGTTGCCGTTGACCCCTCTGCAAAAAGTCTAACTTTTTGTGGGTCTGATAGAATAATATCCACTGTTTCAAGATCTAACCAAATAGCCAGAAAGATGTGTTAGTTTGGGGGTGGAATCCGTCTTAGAGGTTAGAGAGAAGTTGATCACGTCTTGTGTTGCCCACCCTTGCCATGTTGACATGGAATCACAGGGCCAGTTTGTAGCCGCCGGTCGAATTCCATGAATATGTGGGTAGGACGTAACACCCAAACAATCAATGGCAAACAACGACAAAGAAAACCAACAGGTTTGCTGTGATCACCTCTTGGCTTGCCCTCAAGAGAGAAACCGGATGCAAAGAGGGGTCACTGGATTCCCCTTCCGAGGTTGCAATTTCGGAAACTGCCACTTTTGGAGGTTCCAAACAGGGCATCTATCAGCTTTCCAACCAGGTCCTTGTGTAATGCCGGGTGTTTGGTGGAACCTTAGCCCCTCGGATTTGCTTGACACATGAGCCTGTGACATACCCTGCATCGATTTGCTCAGGACAGAAGACCCACCCAGTGCTTTGTTTTCCAATTCACGGAAGTGGCTGTTCTGGGTGCTTTTGGATGCTAAGTAGCCAATATGTTTGTGACCCAAATGGACGACACAAAGGGGATGGATCACTCTGATTCTTCAGACTCCTTTTTTCATCCACTTCCTTTATCACACTTCGGTGTTGGTCACCCATTTGGTTGGTGGGTTATGAAAAACTGGAGATATGGGTAGGGAAGTTGGCCCCTTGGCAAGTCATTTTACCAAACTCAGCTCTGCTGAACTCAGCTGAACCAACTCATCATCTGCAAGCCAAGGATCAAGCGCCACCATCCGAGGCAATCCAACGTATGGTCTGTGAAACAGAGGGAGGGAACCTCCAAATTCGGTGCTCCTGTCGCTTTTGTTTTTCTCAAAATCGAAACAACATAAAAATAACAATACAACAAAAGTTGTTGTTTTCCTCAAAATCGATGAACGCAAAAAAAGAAAAGAACAAAAAAGCAGGAACTTGTCCCCAAGAACTCCTCAGAACGGCCCCGAAGCTTTGGGCCGAAGTGGAACCTGCCGACTAAGAGCTCCAGCAACTCGCTTGCCCGACTTAAGAAATCGAAGTTTGGTGATCACCTAGAACCTCATGGACAAAACGTGACAAACATGGGAAACTTCCAAAAGATGAGATGGACAAAATGGGAAACTTACAAAAGATGAGATGGACAAAATGGGAAACTTCCAAAAAATGAGATGGACAAAATGGGAAACTTACAAAAGATGAGATGGACAAAATGGGAAACTTGCAAAAGATAAGATGGACAAAATGGGAAACTTACAAAATATGAGATGGACAAAATGGGAAACTTATAAAAGATGAGATTGAGATCAGGTCGACTCGCTTTGAAGAAGTGAGGCAACAAAAGCCGTGCCGGGCTCCAAAAAGCGTGCCAACAAACTTGTGAATCAGATTGCAACTCAGGGGCTGCTGGTACTGCGCCAAAAACATGTCCTCGATTTCCTCCGCCGGGTTGCCAGAGTTAAAGCCTGGAGCTGATGCGCCAATGACACATGGGCTGCGAACCTCACAAAGGGAACTCATGTCATGGTCCAACAAGTGATGCTTCAAAACAAAGAAGAGGAAGAATAAGAACCACTGAAAAAGGACATTCTGTTGAAGGGGAAGTAAGTGAAGCCAACCCCCAGACCACCCTTGGCACAGGACAAGGGCCAAGGGCATTGTTTTGCTCGCTGATTTTACAAAACAAGGGCACGACTGAAGGTCTGGAACCCGTTGCGGTTGAGTTGGAAGGACCATGCTTAGTGTTCAGCCAAAGTCAGGCAGGTTATTTGATCATGGGGACGATCACCGCAGCTACACCAGCTATGACCATCATAACCTACTTGCCTGACGTTGGTTGAACGTCCAAGTTGGAAGGACCAGCTCTTGTCGCTTTCTGGGCAAGGTTAGAATCGCTCACATTGCATTTGTTGCACATGTGCGGGTTTAAGGAGCCCTTTTCTGCCATACCATTTGCCAAAGCCCAGGGCTCCAGAGTTGAGGCCAGGGAAACGGCTGCGCCGGAAGACCTGTACCCCCCTCGATTTGCCTGAGAGCACACACACCGAAAGAACACCCATCTTGAATTGGCACAACACTGGTGTTGAAAATCACCCAAACTTAATTGGGGCAAAATATTTCGAGCTGGTCCAAGGGTGCCCTGAAATCTGCACATCCCAAATTCTCCTGGGAGAGGGTTTGTTGTTGTTGTGCTGCCCCCAAGCGAATTTCGAATTGCCTGCTTACGAATCAAGGCTCAGCCATCAAAGGTGATCCGCTTTAAGCTCAGTCGCCGCCCCCCCAAAAAACAAAAAAACATGAAGATCCTGTGAACCATGGCCCTTCGCCACCGAAAAATACCCCAGATCAACGTATTTGCTTGGCGCAAAATGGCATGTTGTTTGTCTCGGTGGATCCCAGGCAAACCCCTGCCCTTCGCCGTTTTCCTCTGCTTCTATCGGGTTCAAGCCCTTGGTTCCCTAAACCAGGAAAATGGAATCAAGTCAGGTTTGGTTGCCGCTGCGCCGGGAGTGAGGGTTCCTTTCGGGGGACCCCGGTGTTCATTCCCTCATTCCCTACGTATCGCAAGTTTGGTTTGGCAAGCTCGCGGGGCTGCGGCCTCTTGGGCCCTCAGTGACTCAGGCGACCCTGCTTCCCAAAAACGGCGGTCGCCGAAGAACAAGGGGATTCGCTAGTTGCCTACTCACCTTGCTAAACAAGAAACCCATTTTGGGTCTCACCACGTTTTAGTCGGATCTCCCCCCCAAATCAACAAACGTCTCAAGGGGATCTGAAGGCCGCTGCTGAGCTAGTTCTGAGCAATAGAATCCACCGGCAAAGCCCCGCTAAGCCCGTCCGCGCGGCTATAGGTGAACCGCGTGCGGAAGAAATCTGTGAGATTTCGCTGGGTGGTAACTCCGTACCTCGCGTCCGCAACCGAGCGATCGCATACCCGCGAGTACTGCAGGCAAAAGAAGTTCCACTCCTTTTTTGGGGGGTTGACGCAAAGGGAAATCCGTGCCACAAAGGGAAATCCGTGCCACAATTGCTTTCCATCCCGTTTCCAAAACACATGCCGGAAGAGGTGGTGGGAATCCGCACCGGAAAGGGTTGGGGGCCGATCCCAAACAATCAGACCTTAACGACCAGGGCTCCCTCCATTTCAGCTTTGAACATCACCCCACCGAAGGGAAACTCACTTTAAGCTGTTCCAATTGTGATGTTCACAACCACTAAAAAGGGACATCTAAGCAACCTTGTGAGCCTGCCATGTGAACAACAATGTGTTTGTTCAACCCCCCCCGAGCGCCAACATGAACAATAAGAACGAAACCCACCAGCAAACTGAAACAACATTCGACGTAAAGCCTTGACGCAACGTGGTTGCCAACATGGGAAAACGACGAGGCTAGCTTCGGGCAAGTGAGCTTCAACTAAGTGAGAAGGTTTCACTCATTCCACAAATCCTGAGTGGGACTGGGTGATTGGAATGGGATTGGCCAAATCAAGTCCAAGCGTCCTGTTCGCCACTCGTAAAAGGTGTTCTTAAAAGGTGTCAAGTCCTCCCTCAAAAGGTTGAAACATGTACCTGGACCTTCAAACTCCGGGAAATTTCTGGGTGTTTCAGGAGACCCCTACGATTTACCGAATTCCAGTGGTTTAGCTACAATTTGGGCAAAAACACATACGAATTGCGTCGTTTCCAGTCGTGCATTGGCCATACAAAGTAAATTCACCTCGCAGCACTTGCCAACGTGCCAGTGAACCGCATGGGATGCCTTGATCATCAAAACTACGACTTTTTCTGATTTGCGGGAGTTTGCGGGTTTTTGCGGGAGATTTGCGGAAATTTGCGGGCGTTTTGCGGTCAAAATGGGTACGTTTTTCTGCACTGCACAACTTTGGACCGCCGTTGCATGTGTTGACAAACTTTCGGGCTGCTTTAAGTCGTTTACCCTGCAAAGCTTCTTTTAACCTGTCAAAGGCCGCGAGCATTGCAATAGTGTGGTTTTTAGGAGTTTTAGGAGTTTCAGGTTTTTGCGGCAAAAAGTGCTACGATTTCCCGAATATCCAGTCAAAGGCGGAAACTACGTTTTTTTTTCAGGAGGACGAAGATCCAGGTAGTTTCGAGGGTGCTCACTCCTGATTGTCAGAAGAAGGGGCCTGTTTCGGTTTCATCTTCGTTTGAGCCATCTTCACGTTTTCCCCTTTTGAATCAAGTCAACGCATCCAAGGAAAGGCATCCCTGGTCAAAGCGGCTTAACGGGATTTCTCAGCGCGTCGAAGAGGGTCCAGAGCTGGCCAAGCCCGGGCTTCGTCTGAAACCTGAGCACACAATAGCACACACACTCTCGGCGCGTGTCACACATTAAATCAGGGGATGGCGCGTCCCCGCCAGGCATCGTTGGAAGCTCAGCCCCCAAAAGAAGCTAAGGCTTAGAGAACTCCTGCTAGCACAGCTAGCTTTCGTGAAAAACCGCCCAGTTTCAAGCGAAGGCCCCATTCTTTATTGAGCGAAGGGCTCAGCGCTCAGCAAGGCATCATTGCTTACGGTGTGCAAGCCGGAGTAAAAGCGGTGCATGGATTGGGCAATAGCAAAGAGTCTCGACTTGCGGTTTGCCACCTCAAACTGGGTTTCAAAAAAAAGTAAAGTCCAGGAATTCAGGGAGAGGTAATGAATGCTATTCCTTCCATCCAAGAGCCAGCAATTGGCAAAGCAACAAACAAAACAACTTGCTTTCTCGGTACTCACCTGTTTCAAGCAGCGCCGGTTTGACACCAGCTGATTTGTTGTTCTACTCGGTTGTAACGGTTGATATGGGCCTTAAAATAACATAACAAAACCATACAACGTGTGGGATCCAACAACGACGGAAAACAATGTGATTCCGTGCTGAGAACCAGCAAGACAAACGCACCGTTGCACTAGGGGATGTTGACCCGGGATTGCTGATTTTCCTGAGTACACGCCAAGGGGGATGGGTATGTTGTGTGTTTTCCCCAGGCTCCTGATCTACCTAGTGCTTTCTCGCAGCACTAGGGTCGCTGGTCGCAACTGGGATCCAGCAACGCAAAGCGGGTTGCCGTTTGTTCTTTGGCTTGTCCAGGTCGGACTTGCCTCATTCATGCTTGCTGATGTTGATAACCGAAACAGCCCACATCAGCACATCAGCGCAACTCCGTGCCAAAAAGCGAGCAAAGCAAGTTTGAGAGTACCCCCCTTTAGGCGCCATAGCCATACCCGCGGCTGTGTTTTTTTGGGTTTAAACACCTTCAAGCATGGCTCGTGCAAGTAAAACCCTAGGTCTGGCCTGATGTCCAGGAACTTACATAAAGTGAGTTTTAAAGAGAGGCAGGGGCAGCGCAGCCCAGTTGCCGAAAGATAAAAAGGCTCACCTTTTGGGGGCCATGGCTAAAACTTGACCAACATGAAAAGGTTTCCAGGTACAACATCAATAACATCAACGTCTTGAAGTAGGGCCCCCCTGAAAAATGTAGCTTCCCTCAGGTTTCCGCCTTAACCCCCCCCCAGAAGAGGCTAGCTTTGGAGTGGTCTTCTATTCGCCTGGAGACTGCTCGCACATGGCGCAGGAGGCGAAGGAGAAGGTCACCGTGAGGTTGGGCTTTGGCCCCTGCACTTGTGCCTCCTCTTCGGCCTCCAAGACCCCATCCTTAGGTTCGAATCACTCAGCGAAAAATCGCGTTCTGGCCTCACGCTGGCTCGAATTCGCCAGAAAGGTCTGAACTGGCAACTACCACTACGAGTGTCTTCCCCAAAAAGTTTTGAGCAGAACTCAGGGAGTAAGTTTGGATGATACCAAATTGGGGAGGGGAAACGTTTCCCAAACCTGGTTCACGGCCCATAGTACAAGAGGTATACCGGAGGTCCGAACAATCTAAAGTGCTTATCGGTTCCACTACCCCCAATCCGGGGGAGGGTATGAGGGGTATATACCCATTGTAAAGCGGCTATATATGATGTATATAGAAATATTGGCCGTGTATCCCATGAACTCTCCGGAGGTCTGGGGACAGTGGGCATCGCAGAGTCCTCCACCCGCCAATTGCCCGGTGCCCTCCTCCTTTATGGATGTGTACCTCCAGCCCCCCCCCGGTAAAAACGTGGGGGTGCTTCTAAAATCTCCCATGGCCGCAATCCAAGGTTTCCAAAGCCTTGGCCCTTGAGAGGGGTGGGGGTTCAGGGACAGCTTGGGCGTTCAAGCGAACGAGCGGCGTGCCCGACCAACCCAAGAGCAGAAACCCCCTCTTCTTTCAGTCCGTGCTCTTGGATGTTTTATGGCGGGTATTGGCGGGTATGGAGGAAAACAACTTGCTTTTGGCGCTTGACTAAACAAACTGATGGAGAGACCCCCACAAGAAGTTTGCCGACCTAAGGGGTGCCGCTGAACAAGGGGGGGCCCCTCAGGACTCTGCCCTGCGACGCATGACTGAGTAAATTTCAAGAAGACATCCTCAAATTGACCCTCTAAATGGGTCCTGAAACAGAGATCCCCTGTGCCGTTTCAGTACTGCAGGCTCTTTTAGTATAGGAACATAAAAACCATATTATTTGGCTGCTAAAATGGCCGTCCAAAAAAAAGGTACAAAGTCCATGAAATGGGTGGCTCTTTTTTGAGGGCATCATTTTTGTGGTTGCAACGGGAGACCAAAAAAATAACCTTCTTGTTGGCAGGCGCCAAACACCAAAATATGTATCAAATGAATTCAAGGGAGTCAACAAAGACATGATTTGACCATGGGTCAAAATCCAAATCGTACCCCGAGTGAACATCCCAATCCCCACTCAAATAGGTTCTATAATGGGTGGTGAATTCACCTACCAACCAAAATGGGATCCCAAAACGGTTTCGACCACCACAGCCATTTGGGTATGGGTCAAAATTGAACCAGCAGGAAATGGACCGCAGGTTTTAGTCCTTGGTTCCATTTACCAGGGCTCCACTTGCGTGCTGTAGATCCCTCAGCAACAAGTTTAGCTTTTTGGTTAAAGGAAATATGAGTGGAATCCAAACAGTTAACGTCTAGAGATCCAACCGAATAGCAGTAGAGCATTTGGGGTACCTATTTTCGACCCGCCCAATCTGTGCCAAAGCCGCGATGGCGGAGACCACCGCTCTGGCGAACTTCTTCGGCTCGGACAGCGATGGGAGCTTCAGCTCGGGCTCGTTCACCACAATGAAGTACTTGATGGCCGGGTGGTAGCTACCTCATAGGTCACTGGGTGCCCGGATTTGTGACTGTGCGTTTCGTTGGAATCCTGGAAACCCAAGGCGGCCTTGGCCAACAAAAAAATGACCATGCGGTCATTTACGGCTTCTTGACAACAGCTTGTCATTCGGCTTTCCAGGTACCTCACAGGTCACCGGAGTCGATGCAAAGATGCAAATGGAGTTGTGGCCGTGTTTTTTGGGTTGGAATCCTGAAACGGCCCCAGCAAGTTCAACATATTTCTCAGGGACAGCGTCTGGAAGCCAACGCGTTTGCGCCATACATATATATATATATATATATCCATGCAAACCACCAGTTTAGCAATATTTTGTCAGACTATTTCCACCAAATATCACACAAACACATCTACCAAGTCTCTTTTACAGGGCTGCCTGATAACTTTCGGATCCAGGGCGCGGACTGCGAGCAAAGTTGCAACCCGGTGGACTCTCTCAATGTTTGTCTGGTGCGTGATGTTTTTGAGGCTACGGCTGCTTTAAAAGGAAAACCGAAGGTTTCAACCTCCGATTCCTTCGAATTTTGAGGCAGGATGTCAATAACAACACCCGATCTTGGAGGGATGGCGCATCCGGATGTCCAAGCCGTGAAAGGGAGCAGCCTGAAGCTGGGCACAATTTACAGGGAAGCCCAAAAGCAGGAGCTCCCAAAATAGGGCTTTTACCGGTATGAGTTTCGGAAGTATGGAGGTGTGTATACCACATATAGGGTCTATACCGCCTATGTTTGTGGAATATAAGCATACCTCCAAAACCCATACCTAAAAATGCCAGGCTGTCCTCAGATCCCCTGCTAAAAGTGTCTTTTCGTGGGCCAACATGAAAGCCCCCCCCCCTATTGCAAACGTAAGGGGACGGCTTGAAGCCGCCAAGTGATACATGTCCTCCTGAAAAACCGCATGTCACCCCACAGGAAACTCGCTGCACATCCGAGCGCTTTTTGTCGCCCGGGGAAGGGGCAGCACCGGGCTGGACGAGCGGCGGTTGGCCTGGAGAAAGCCTTTCTCCAGGTTCCTGGGCGAACGCAAGCGGCGGATCTGGCGATGGGTTCTCATGAGTGGAATGACCCAAGTGGGAACAACGGGTGGTTTCCAACGGGTGGTTTCCAACTCGTGGTGTCCAACTGGTGGTTTCCAACGGGTGGTTTGCAACGGTTTCCAACTATAGGGTAATCGTTCGGTTGTTCCCTATAGATAATCCAACTGGTGGTTTCCTGGAAGGAAGGGTTATTCCCAACACCCAGAAGGGTCATTCGGGCACCAGCAAGTAATCTCTTTGGGACATTGAAAGGGACATCACCCCCAAGTGAGTCTCGCTTTTTCATTGCGACCTTGGCACGTTGGGAAGCCAAAGGAAAAGCAAAGGCTCAAAAAGCAGGCAATCTAGGTCTGGCACCTCCCCTGACGTCAACCTGTGATGCAAAACAAGACAGATGCCAAGGCACAAGTCACGTCACGGTAACCCCGGATTGGGCAGAACCCCTGCCCTGGTTGAGTGTGTGCGTCCCCTTTCACTGGGAATCCAGGTCGCTTTTGGGGCCAACCCCCCCCCCCAACTGGGCGGCTTCTTGTTTCAGATGCAGGGAAGTTCTCGGCGGTGTCTGGATATCGCGAACAGTGCCCGCCTGATCTGATCATTTCCCCACATGCAAAACTCTTGCAATTCAATTCAGACATCACCAACTCACTTCCTGAGTGGATCGGCCAAAATGGGCCAAGCGAAAAAGTTCAAAGTCCAGGAAATCCCTGAGTGAGCCAAAGAACCATGGGTGAAAACCGTCGGATACATCAAAACCCGAGATTGCTGTCCAATGCAAACCACTGCTCCTGTGGCGCCCCTTCTCCTGAAACCTGTTCAAAGATCTTTGATCTGACCTGAGGCTAGATAGAAACTAAACTGAAGAAATCTGCCAGCAAAGTGCTTGAAGTGTTCGAATGGGACAGGTGAGTCTAACCCCCCTTCCCCTTAAGGCCGTTTTTGCTGTTTCCTCCAATCAAGATCTTAGACAATAAGACTGCAAATTAAGGTCTCATTGTAAATAGGGGAGGAGGGTTGGAATCCGATGAACTGACGTGGCCTCAAAGGGAAACATAGTGCCGGGCCTCTCTTCACGTTTTTTCATGTGTGCTGCACAGCTCTGTTCATTAGACTTGCGAATTTGCAGATCCTACTGCAGCTAGCCCTTGATTGGCTGCTTGGACTGGTGATTTTTGGTGTCAGCAAGCAGGGGTTCACACGGGTCCCACACGCCACCCATGCATGCAAATCAAGACAATCAAAAGGGTGGCTGCACATATGTATAGTTGGGATTGTCCCAGATGGCCAAGGTAAATCGAATGAAACCAATCTACTCCAGTGCCATCTTTTGCCTAACCAAACCTACTGTAATCTTGGCTGATAATAGGATCCCAGCACAAAAAACTAGTTTCTTGCCTTAGTCGAAAGCAAAGGGGACCCCGAAAAAACACAAAAACAAATCAACAAAATAACTAATTCTGGGGCAGTCATAAGGCAACGAAAAAAATCGGGGAGACGATTCATCGCCGGGATTCTGGGCATAGGCCTTCTTGACGCCCTCTGCGCAGGAGAAGTCCCCGCTGCCTTTGCATGGCGGAGTGGCCTCAGCTCGAGCACTTGCCCGAACCAACCCAGGCCTTGTGAGTCGCCATGCTTCCATTTCAATATGTCCAGTAGTGATAGATTCTCTTTGAAACCAAGACGGGAACATAAAACAAGAGAAGAACATGTTAAGAACACTTTAGCATTCGCCCCTGATGCGGGGCCAACCAACCGGTTTGACCATAGAAAACAGGTCACACTTTGTCTAAGCCCTCAGAACGGATAGTGGACCTATCTGCTGGGCGGGGTTACCCATGCTTCCCACATCGAAAGCATCCTGAGTTCATGGACTTTGGACTTTTCGGGAAGGCCATCTGTGTAACCATGGCCAGGTATTCAGCTTTATTGATCAGTTTTTAAGTGGATTGGCCAACAAAATCGCAAACTTGTTCTTCGCCCACTCATCTCACTTGCCCCTTAGGGACAAAAGGTGATCACCTTTGGGAACCTTGACTAAAGATGGGCCGGCCACATCAGGGAAACTGAAAGGTTGAGTTAGATCCGGTCGATTCGGTCGATTCGGTCGATTCTCCCAGGATCTCAGCACCCCAATGTTTGGGGTGGCCTGGAGTTTGGGCCAAAGTTGACTGTCTAGGGCACAGGGTTCCCTATATGTCTTTAAACAATAACTAGGTTCTCAAGTAGAGAGGTTTGACTAAGGGTACCCTTTTTCTGTAGTCTATTTTAGTAGGGGAACCCTCCCCCAAAAAAGGGTAAAAGGGCACTACTGGGGGACCTAGTTAACCCACCCCAAAGGATACTCACTTAAACCGGGGGTAGGCTCCCTCAGATGAACATCGAAGCTCCCAAAAGGCCACTGTAAATGGAACCACGTCTTCCAAGGGGTTCTGGGAGCTTGGTTTTGAAGGGAAACCGAACGAAACTTGATAACACTTTGTTTGGTAGTTCCCTAAGAGACGGGCCACCTACCCCCCAAACACCCCCACCCATTGAGAAAAAACAAAACCGATAATTGTTGGAAGTGCGCTTGGAGGTGCGCTTGGAGGTGGTGGCGTGCTTGGGTCCTAAGAAAAGTTCTATAATCTTAGCTATACAACCCCAGCTATCGCAGCAAAACCAACTTGTGTTGAAAGACCTGAAAGCACTTGGGAGCACCATGCCCTTTTGTTGGCAGCCCCTAAAACTGTACAGAACAAACAAACCAACCAAAACAACTAAAAACAAGTTGCCAACAACAGCGAGTTGCCGACAAACCATGTCGGCCTTCGGCCTTCGCCAAGGCACGAAGGCCTTGTCTCCCATGCCCGGGATCACGTGGAGCCCTAAACTCCAGGCGTGGTCCAAAAACTTCTCGTGCGACAGCTGAGGGTCGTTGCCATAGAGCCGCACCTGAGAACGTCAGGATCAGAAGCACCATCATCTGAGTACTGGTAATTGCCTATGTCATGGAGCCCCGGGGGGGGGGAGGAAGGGCATGGGGGAGGGAGCCCAAATCTCCCCACCCCACCCCGGCCCCGAGATTGTTGAAACCATACTAAATATGGCGCCACTTGCTCGGGTTTGGTTGTGGCTCGCCAGTTCATCACCCACCAAAATGAATCCTCACTGTGCAAAAAGGCTGTGCTGATTTGAGTGCCTGGAAAAAGTGAGGAAACCTAGACTAAACTGATAAGAAACCGGTTCGTTCCTTCGCTAAGGCGGTGATGAAGCCAACTCAATGGTGTCGTTGGCCCCCCTCAACCGTGACATATAAACGAAGAGAGAGAGAGAGAGAGAGAGAGAGAGATATATATATATGTATATATATATATGTGAATACACTATGTACATAAGCAATTGTTTCCTAAAACCAAACATGACGAATATAACAAGAACAAACACTTTTCAGGCCCTTCTCAGCCCCTTCTTAGTCATAGGGGCCCAATAGACAACGCTGCGCATCAATCAGCAAAACCGGTACGGGCCCATTCAAACGCGATACCCGGGCAATACTGTCTGTTGCACCTGTGGCTGATTAAGACATGCTTGAGTCACTCGAACATGTGACCTCCAGATATGCTTCAGGTCAGGCAGACACGCACCGTACTTCTGCAATTAAGAAAGCGCTCGAAAAGACCATGGTGATGTCGAAAACGGATTCATAAACCTGGCGCATGATGAAGGGGGTGGGTAAAAGCAAAAGATCCCCTCTCAAAGGGGGCACCCTCACAAAACAAACAAGCAAACAGAACAACAAACAAGCAAGCACGCAAGCACGCAAGCACGCAAGCAAGCAAGCAAGCAGGCAGGCAGGCAAGCAGACAGAGACAAACGAACAATCAGAGAAACTAAAAGCAACCAAACCAAACCAAACCAAGCCTCACAAAGAAGCTTCTCCCGAGGCCCCGGGCGGTATTTGCGCCCAGGCTTTTGATGACTCGGAGATCTGCACGACCAGAGTCGCCCCACATGGCCTCCGCAGAGTCACAAAAGTAGTCATAGTGCCTCGAGCGCTCGGAGCACTCGCCACTCGCAGCTCCGATTTTGCTTTTGGCCGTGGGTGTCAAAATAGGGTAACCCCAAAATGGGACCCTGGCAATAGAAAAGTAGAGTAAAACCTGCGGTCCCCGGGTGACTTGATTTTGACCCATACCCATTTCCAAAAAAACAGGCAACATACGGTGGGACGAAATCCATTTCGCACCACCATTCAGAATCCCTGGAATGTTGATTCCCCTGCAAATACCAACAAACAAGGGTTCCCATTTGGTTCAAAGTGGTGCAGGATTCTGTCCATCCACAGTAGGGACCTCCATTTGCTTAAGTCCCATGGGGAAAAAAACAACATATGTCCAGTAGTGATAGGCTCGCTTTAAAACCAACATACTTGGATGTTCGGCCAAGTAAGCCACCTGGGATATTTCACCCAATGACCGGGTTGACTCCAATTGAGGCTTATAAGCGGGTTATAATCTCGGATACCAACAACCCACAACCCAAGCAACCCTGAAATGATTCGATTCCGCTGTAAACACCAACCAACAATGGTTCATGGTTTCCAAGTGGTGCCGGATTTCGTCCATCCACAGTAGGGAGTATATGTCCGTTGCCCGGTCTTCCTTCGCAGGCATAAACTCGGTTGCTTTCTGCTCCCCTGTTAAAAGTTTTTAACTTTTAGTGGTTTACTGGAAACCCCATTGGTTGGCAAAAAGCTAAAGTCCTAACATCCAAGCAAAATGTACCAAAGTAAACATAGGGGTCTTCTTAAATGGAAAATGGGGAAGCCCAGGAAGCCTGAGGTTCCGATTTTCGTAGGGGAAAGAATGATCAAGCCCATCGCTAGGACATTGGTAAACGGTGCCCTTTTGGTTTCCCACCTGCCTGTCCCCTCGCAAAAACCGTTTGCATTGTAAGGTTGGCTAAAACATGAAAGATCAGAACTTCTGATGTTTGGTGTACAGAGTTGGGTTGGGGTCAAAGCTTTGGGGGGGGGGCAGACGCACCCCCCCACCTGGTTACTGTCTTTTTGGGCATTTTCCCACCCACTGTCTTTTTGGGCATTTTCGCACCCACTGTCTTTTTGGGTATTTTCCCTGTGTATTTGTCCAATGCAGTCTGGAAGGCACAGCCCTTTCCCAACAGCAGTTTGTTCTATCAACTTTCTGGGCGTCTCCATGTCCGAGGCGCTTGTTCTTCGCCGGTGATGTGAAGGGCGAGGGTCCATAGCTCACGCCTTTCCTGGGTCTCACAAAAACGGCTATGGCTCAAAAGGTGACGCCCTTGGGGCTAAGCTGCTAGGTTGACTGGCGACAAGCTTAAGCTTGAGTCTTGAGTAAAGTGAAGCAACAAACCCGGGCTGCCCTCAGATCCCCTGCTAAAGGTTTGCCTTTTAGTGAGTTGAATGAAAACTCCCACTACAGACACTAAAACTTCAAAAGCCAAGGGGATGGCTGGGAGCCACCAAGAAACCACAAACAAAAGCCTTCAAGATCGACTTAGCGAGACATTGCCAAGCGTCATGAGTGTCTTCTCGGCTTTTGCCGGAAGCAGGCGCCGCTTCATCTGTATCAGTTGCAAGGTGTTGTCCTCCATCTCTGCACAACTGTCCTTACTCATGTCCAAAGCCAAAACAAGTCTGAACTGCCAGGTGGAGAGAAAACGAAGAAACTTGCTTGCCATTGCGCTGCGCTACCGTTTAGATTTGATCATCTTTACTTGCTACACGCTGGGCTCAAATCAAAAAGCGCTACAGCTTCCCTGCTTCCAGGTCCTTGTTCTTTGTGGCCAACCTGCCTTACTACCATCCCCCCCCTCCGCTGCAAATCAACGGAAGGAACCCTGCAAAAGGTGGGTAAAAAGAGGAAACCAAAGGCCTCAGACAGAAAAGGACCTGAACACCTTTTGACCCTTTGATCATGGCTTTGTGCGTCGCCTTACTTTGCCGACATCTGGAATCTGGATACTGTAAAAATATGCTGTTCAGATTCTGTTTCAGATTTAGTCTACCCTAGAACAAAGAACGTGAGAAGACTCCGGCTAAGATTCAGAGTCCACCGCGCAGTCGATAAATGCCTGGGTCTCATCCAGTGAGGCAGCAATGCCCACCAGCAATGCGAACAAAGCGATGCACTTTGGCATGGCTTGGCCGAGCAGGGTCATTCTCGGCATTTCTCTAGGACATATCTCAAATTTGGGCCAAACAATGCGGCAAATAGTCCAAATAGATGTTCAACCATTTCCGTAGGTAGGTTATGACCCCGGTTATAGCTGGGTTCATCGTCCCCTTACAACCATGGTTATATAAGTTGTAACCTACTTACCTGACGTTGGCTAAACACCCAGCAACGCCTCCCCCCCCCGCCAAATTCCAATCATTTAGTGACTTTAGTGGAATCGCCTCAGCCCCAAGCAGGCCTGCACAGGGTCCGACCCCAAAGCTAGCTCTAGAGGACTCGCAAAAGGCGACCCCTGAAAAATGTGAATTGTAGCGACGGCAGGCTCACGTTGGGGAAACTTGACTGAGGCACGTCCAACAACACTAACCTGAACTAGTAGGACCCAACATGAGGCGTGTCTTTGTTTTGAGGGTACCCCCCCTTTATGGGGGGGGGGAACCAAACGGACCACCACCATTTTGGGGCATCCCCTACAAGAAGACATACCCAATATTGATGCAGAGACACTGGACAGGTGGTCACGGGCCTTGATTGTTTGTACACCCCCAAACCTTTTTCGGCACTGTTACCCTTCCAACTTGATGGTAAATACCTCCCTGAGATACATGCAATTCCCCACAAGTCAGAGTCGGATCATATGGATATGGAACAAAATGGGAGCGGGGCGCCAACAAAAACATGCGGCTGTCCTTTTTGCTTCCCTTCGAATCAAGGTGAAAACAGGGTACTTTCAAAAAGCGCACGCGCATACGAATACCAAACAATGTTCGGTCAGTGACAATGATGCCCTTTACCCCTCACACGGTTTTTGGATAAGCTATGGTTTGCCCTGTTGATAAAGGACACCCCTTGATACTCACTTTAAATGTCACCACCGGAAGTTGACGCAGGACTACTCAACACCTTGTCCGTTGCTCCTGCCCCCTGTTTATGAGGCTTGTCTCATGAAGGCGAGTTGCCCCAGGGCCCTGATTCATTCATGAGCCAGGCGTCCCTCACTTTGCCAGTTCATAAAATCCGGGACAAGACTCAGGCTCCGGGTGCGGAGGTGGGCTGTTTGTCTATGTGCATGCGTGTGTGTTTTCTTTTGGCGGGTCAGCAGAACAATGTGAAGGCAGCGGAAAATTGGACAAGCAACCTATAGAACATGTGTACGTCCTGGCAAACCCAGGCTCAAACACTACAGTATGGGAGCATTGCTTGGGATACTGGTCCAGGTGTTTTTTTCTTGGTCAGACTCCTGTGAAAACGAATCGAGCACTGGTCGCTGGCAAAAAGGAAGCCAAACAAAGGAAGCAAAAAGATGAGGCAAAAGCTTGGGACTCCAAGCGTCACTTTCTCTAGTTCCCGGGGGGTAGGGATCGGATTGCCATACTGATCATTGTAGGGTACCTACCCAAGGAACAAAATCCATTCCAAGACTTCAAGGGAAGGTCCAATGGAGGGGGTTCTCTAAGCCTTTCCTGAGGAACCCTAAGCCCGAAGGAACCCGAAAGAGGCGCTCAACTACTCACCCCCCGTGGCGTAATTACCTACCCCTTAGCTTGCTGGTGCTCAGGGAATGACCGAGACCGGGTGTTGAGAATGAACCGCCAGGGGTTTCTTTAAAGGAAGCCACCAGTTGGATGGTTGTTCTTGGGGTCATTCCAATTCTCCTTCGCCGCTCGATCTTCGCAAATAGAGAGGACGGGGTCCCACGCGCAGCGATGGAAGAGAATCCACGTCCAGCGCGCCGCCTTGCTGCCTAAAGAAATGCCAAGCGACGGGGCCATGGGGGGTACTCCTTTCGAAAGGGGCACCCCCCATATGGCTGTGGGCCCAAAATATGTACCCAAAATGGAACCCTGGTAAATTGAAACATGGACCAAAACCTGCGGTCCGCCGGTGGTTTAATTTTGACCCATACCCATATGGCTGTGATTTTACCTAAATGATGTCCACCCAAGAATCCCTAATTCAAATTCGTTCCCATGCTAATAAAAACAGCGGTTTATTCATCCGGGGTCAACAGAAAAAGGGGCTCCCTGCAGTTCGGCCACTCCGGTTGTGTTGGACATATTCCAAGTGAAACTACCTCACAAACAGCACCCTCCGAAAATGGCACGAACCAGTCTTCAGGCATCCTCCTTCCACAAAACCCAGTAAGGGGACTAACATGAACTAACTGGTTGTTGAACAGAACGATGTCCGAAATCGGGATCAAGCCTTAACCATTTTTGAACCAAGTGGAACTGCAGCTTAACGGAAGGAACATGAAGGAACCCAGAAGATCAGAAGTGTCCTTTCCCCAATTGAAGGGATGCAGGGAAGACCCAACTAGATTCCTCACATCACATTCGGGTATAACAACTGGAGAGTGGATCGGTTTCAAAGTGAGGGTCAACCCAAGCCGAAGACCAGGAAATGCATGGCCCAATCGACCCCTTCTGCCAGGAAAAAAGAACCTGCCTCTGCCTCAGTGAATCGGAAACAGTGCAGACTTCTACCAAACTAACAGAGTCTTCCCCCAAAAGCAAAACGTCGTACAAGTCAGGAGGCAAACGATTCCATGTTTCGGCTGCCAGAGTCTCAAACCCGGAATAACTGAACAACTGGGCCTGGAAGGCTGGAAACATGAACCGCTTCCATCAGAGCAGCGCCCAAAAACAAGAGGAGAAAGGGGTGAAACTCGGATCGGTAGTCTTCCCTATCCTTCACTCGGCCCGGTGAATCTCAACGGAAAGTGAAAAACCGCTCGGTCCACAAACGCCCAGGAAAAGCAACATGAACACATCCAAACCACCTGTCAATCTCAACCCGACTGAAACCCCCCTCCAATTGGAAATCACCCCGCTGGTCCAGAAAAACATGTGGCGGCTTCTTTCACTTGGCCCACATACACAAATCGTTGTCTAGGATTATTCATCTTTCATATTGCCTCTACCCTGAAGCACACAATCGTCTTGGTGGCGACCAAGGCCCTGGTCATTCCTTGCAGGTTGGGAGCAACCCTGCACGACCGGGTGGCCCGTGTGCCGTCGCATGTGTTTAGTGCAAGCGTCAAAATTTTCAAACGCGCATATAATATAATATATATATATATGTATATGTATATGTATATATATATATATGATTATATGTATATATATATATATGATTATATATATATATAAACATGCTTGACCAAACAACATGTTGATATATATATATATATATATATATATATATGTGCATTGAGTAGCATAAAATGCATACAGGCATGCACGCACGCCCGTTCGTAAGTAGTCATCGGTCTCCAAACGCTTGCGAGAAGCTTGCGTGGCAAATGTCTGCTCTCTGGATTCCACCCATGAATTGCCCAAAGTACTGCTCTAGGAGATTTATTAACAGAAAACTAAATTTTGCTCACTGAACAAACATGCCAACGCTCACTTGCCCAAAGGATCTGGACACAAAAGCTTCACCTTTGGGAGCCTTGACTGAACACAGGCCACAACAGGACAAAAGGGTCAAAAGGGTCGGCTTTGGGCAAGTGAGAACAACTTCGCTCGCCCATCCTCGACGGCCTTTTTTTTACAGCGTCAGTGACGTGTCGTGGCGCCCGGACTCGCTGTGCCGCCCGGCCCTGAACACTAGGGAATGCAAAAAGCAGGGGAAAACAATTGGGTACGCTGTGGCTAATAAAGTGGTACTCAAAATGGCACCTTGGTAACGGAAACAGAGACTGTAACCTGCGCAACCCTAGCTGATTGCTTTTGAGCCTACGAGTGTGTCAAATAGGGGGGCCAACAAATTTCCCAGTGAATCAAGCTGAAAAGGGCACCCTCAAAAAAAACCCACACCCCCAATTGCTGTCAATTGGGACTTGCTCTTGGTGCGTATGCGGAACCCCTCCGAAACAAGGCTGGACCTGCCCTGAACTTCTGGATTTTGCCACTCAAATGGCTTTTTGAAAAGTAGTTTGAGCATATCTTGGAAAGTGAGTTGAAGTTCCCCCGTGTTCAGTTCGCCACGTCTGCAAAACACCGCGGCTCGGCTCCGTGGCTTTCCACGGGCTTCGGAGCGCGGCGTGTTCGCTCGGCGTGGGCTTTTCCTTCTGCATGTGTCCACCTGAGGCGAGCTTGTGGGGGGGGGGAGCACCGGTCCGGTTGCCCCAGGTCGCCCAGGCTGGCCCCATGGACGTAGGGCTGGTCAAGCCGAGTGGTAGTTGTGACCCGAAAGGAAGCCCAGACTCTGTAAAACCCGAGGGATCGAAGCGATTTTTGGAGGGGAACCCACTGAGCAAAAAGGAGTGGAAAGGTCGAAGTGGAAAAAATCGTCGCTGGGAAAGTAACGTATTTCCTAGAACTTGGCGCCAAGGGCGTGTGCGTGTCTCTTCGACTTAGCCCCGTTGGCTTTGTCCAGCTGGAATGGATTCCAAGAAGTAAACCTGGGGCCGTGACTCTGTGAGTCTGGCTTATGTTGGGGGGGGGGGGCTGCCTTGAGGGTTAAGCTTGCGGATCACACAAGGGCTTCCCCTTCTGGGCCAAGGGGATGAGTCGTAAGGGCAAACCCCTTGCGGGACTACTTAGCTGGGGATATGGGGGGTTGATCAATATTCCTGCCCCTCAACATGACCATATTTATATATATATATATATACACATGTATATGTGGGTATCTTATCCCATTTAGTCGGACATATCGTCTCTGTAGTGGTTTCCTAAGAAGCCCTGGAATGATGATTACCCCGATACCCAACAAGCAACGGTTCCCATGCATTTCACGGGGGTTTTGTCCATCCACAGTCTAGGTCCTCCAGCATCTATTATAGTAGGGGAACCCTCCCCCAAAAAAAGGGTGAGAAAGGGCACAACTGGCGGACCTAGACAGTATAAACACTTCCTAAGGAGGTTGGACATCCAAAAGGCAGAGATTCCCAGAGCCCGCCTGCCTTGAATTGACGGCGTGCCTCGCGCACAGCGATCGGTGCCTTGGAGTGGCAAGGTCTCGTAGGGTTCCCTTGCTTACCCTTCCTCCCACGTTGCCATGGCACCTGCGGGAGGGTACCTGGATTAGTTTCCTCTCGAAGGGACCCCTGGTGAGGTGCCATGTTAGTGGGACCAAATTCAGCATACCTCAGTGAGAGAGCAAATCGAAATTGAGCTACGAATCCGCATGTAAAACCCTTCGAGGGCTCCCGGCTATGCTTAGGCAAACGAATTATATAAATGCAAGTAACATTGGTTGCCTACTTTTCTGCCACTGGAAGCCTGCCCCATAAACCTCTAGGGGGCTCTGCGTGGACCTCAAGAGTTGGGTATATGAGAGGCCCGCTACAACAAAGTTCCAACTTGTCAACTCAAATAAGCACATCTCAAAATAGGCGACCCCCAGATATGCTTACCAAAACAACCAAAAGGGGACCATTAAGCAAACAAAAGGTGAACATTGTTTAGGTGTAGATTCCTGTCCAGCAACCACTTTTGATGTGGCTCTCGCTTAATCAAACTTCCAGTCCCGTGACCCGTCGCCTGTTCTGCAAACCGTGTGGTGACTTCCGCTTTTCACCCGAGCGGCTTTCGTGGAGTCACTTGCAGCACCCGCCCTGCTGCACGGGGCGGCCGGCGCCGATGGTCGTGCTGCCGGCGCCGCTCTTCGCCTCGCCCGAAGCTGGCGACGCCCAACACATGGGTGTGGGTCAAAACTAGGCACCCGCAATTGAACCCTGGGAAATGGCAACAAGGACTAACGGCTGCGGTCCCAGTAGTCTAATTTTGACCCATACTGGGAATGACCTCTAACCAACCCCGATGTGGTTTGCTTTCAGGGAAGCCCCCAAACCGGTCAATTCCCAAACTCGCAAGGAAAGGTCATTCCCTACTGAGCAGCCGCAAGAGACGGGATTGCAAGGGCGGAGTCTACTCAACTGGGTCTATGCCTTGCAAGTGCGATAGGTAGGGAATGACCGAGACCGGGTGTTGCGAATGAACCGGTTTTGGGGATGCTTTCAGAGGAAACCAACTCGGGAAGGGATTTTTTCTTCAGGGTCATTCCCTTCCTATCGACTGAAGTCTGGGTCCAAGACCAAAGCTGCCCCCCCAAGCCCCCCACCCCCAAGCCCCCCCCGCGAGCAAGGGCCTCAAGCTGCCGTGATTTTGGCGCATCGGCTTGGCCCATTGGCCCATTGGCCCATTGGCAGGTACTGGACCAGTGCTGGACAACTGAAGTCTGAGGTCCAACACCAAAACAAAAACGTGGGCGCATTGGCTTCTCGGTCTCAGTCTGTCTGATTCTATCTGTCTGTCTCTCTGTCTCTCTGTCACTGAAGTCTCGCTCCCACCGCCCGCGCCTGGGGCTGGGAGGCGACGCGCTGCTTGATCTCGCGGGCCATGGTCTGAAAGGCCTTCGCGTCTTCAAACACGGAGGGCCGATATGGCTAGCTCGTCTTTTTCCGGGGGGTCTCCCTCCGTCTTCCTTCGCCGGGCTGTCCTCAGATCCCCTGCTAAAGGCTAACTTTTGTTGGGTTAAATGGAACCCCCCACTAAAGCCCAAAAAGGCTAAAAGGCTAAGGGAATGGTTGGGAGCCACCAAGTTCAGGTTTCCCTTTAAAGCCAACAAAGGGCTGCCCTGAAAAAACCAAGGGACCCAAATGGCCATGAGTTTTAGCTAGGGACCGTTTGGTGGACATCATGTTTAGGGATTCATGTCCACCAATCACTTTTTAGGTGGTTCGCTGTTAAATGTCTATCCAAATTGGCTCCCCTTGCAAGGGGTCCCAGAATGTTATTTTCTTCAATAGGATCCAGCAACTTGAAACTCTTGTAGTGGACATCTAGTGACCCCTGCTTTATCACCTGATTCAGAGCCATAGCCAAGGAGCCATTGCAACCCAAAGTTCACTCTTGGTGACAATTCACGGCCATGAAGGACAATTGAGGCTGTGGCTCTTGCTGACTCCAAGGCTCTGAATCAGTAGCATTCCGACAAGTTGGTCCCTATTCTCGACTAATAAAAAGTTGGAAGACTAATCAGTTTCACAGGCCCTGAACAATTTGAAAGGTGTGGGGAAAAGCGCACTTCAAAATGACATGTAGTAATGATTTCAACGATAAACAATTAGTAATGTGTTGTCTCCGATTCTCATTCCTCAGCGAGTCATCGGTCACCCCATTGGATGTACGTCGTTTGTGCAACATATGTGTCAGGGGCAAACAAAAATCAAGAAGTGACCAAAACCTTGCTTGTGGCATTGTCTGTCTTGGTGGATTGGGTGCGAATAAAGTCGGGCCGTTTTTCCCCCTCTTCGAGACATGCAATCCTCACTTGCTGAATGGGTTGGCCACAAAAAGTCCAAATATGTTACTTACCACTAACATGCTCTAACCAACAAGTTCAAAGTCAAGGAACTCGGGGAGTAAACTCGACAGTATTACCCACTCAACTAACATTGAACATGACTTCCTGCCATATTAGCGGCTAGCGAGTAAGGCTTAGAGAAACCTACGCGCCTTGCGGTGATCCTCGATTCACTGCCTTCTGTCTCCTATGACATACGCCATCCCGACAAACTGCCCCCTTGGTATCACAGAAAGGCGACCTACCCCACAACAACGAAACACACACACACACACATGGGCCATAAGGAGCGTGGCAGTCTTTTTCTGGCGGTCACTTCTCAGAACCAGTTGCCCCAGTATTCTGCCATTATCAAAGTCACCCCAAGTAGTAGACCAACCGGAAACAACAGCAGTTTCTGACTTTGATCACCATCAAAAACAGTCAAATAATGATGCCCAACCCCAGTTCCTGACTTTGACAACCAAAACCAGTTCGTCAACATCACGATCCAAACATCTTCAATCTTTACTATAATTTGCCAAAAGCTGAATTCAGGGATCCCCAAGTAAAGGACTTGCTAACATCATGGCTCATAGCCAACCATCCGCAATCTTTCTTTTTTTCCCAAAAAAAGTTCAGTGAGGCATCCCCAAGTAACGAACTTCCTACTGTGGATGGACGAAATCCTGCACCACTTTGAAACCATGGGAAACCACTGTTTGTTGGTATTTACAAGGGAATCAGACCATTTCAGGGTGTCTTAGGTGGTGCCTAAGAGGATTTCGCAACCAACCGGGTCTCACATCCCGTTGTTGCGGACCTGCTCCACGTTGTGGGCGTTCTTCGCGCTGGTCTCCATGAACTGGATCCCAAAGCTATCCGCCAGCTCCTCCCGCCAAGCGAACCCGTGGATTTGCCCCCCGAGAGGATTTTTAAGTTTTGGCCGTGGTCCTGGGACCACGTCCCCCCAAAACAACGGGGCACCCCCAACAAAAATGTGGAAGATGGTGTTTCCACGAATCCCCCCCTTTGGAAAAAAAAGGGCGAGATATCCGGTTTTCCCTGGTTTGGTCTGGTTGGCCTGCGGCAAGGTCTCAGTGTGTTTGTCTGGAACAAGCCCCCTAAGGGATTAGACATTATACAAAGAGTAAGGTAAATTAATCAATAAACAAACACATTGGTATACACATATATATATATAGATATGTGCATACATACGATGTAAGTTTCTATGCAAACACAATTATCGATGTTTGTGTTATATATATATATGTATATATCGAAAGGCATGCCATGCCATACTCGCGGTCCTTCGCCTCATCGTAGGACACCACCTTCTTGGAGGAGAGGTCGCACTTGTTGCCCACCAACAGCTTGTTCACCCCGTCGGCGGCATACTTGTCGATCTCCTTCAAGGTGTACCCTATCCGGTCGATGTCCTTTTTACACCCCCGTTTCAGCACTTGGGGTGTGGTACCTACGGGTTCTGCATACCAAGTCCCGATCGGACCCCCAGGGCAGTTAGCATGCCGAATCGAGGTAATTACAGCCGGCAGCTAGCATAGTTGAATATTTTTCAGGAAATGGATGGGCCGCAACTGAGGTTCCATGTGCTAGACTGCTACTCCCTATATGAGTTACATTTGTCATAAGCTTCTCACTTCCGAATAAGTGGATTGGCAACACAACGTCCGCACTTTGGGTTTGCCACTAAATCCGGGCACTCGATGGGGTCTCTGAATGAGCGGCCGAACAGAAACACATTGGTGTGCAACTAGAAGGTTGAACACCCCCACCACCAATGCAAAGGACAAATCAACTACTTGATGTGATGCAAAGCGGGTCATTCAGTTTGATATTGCGGCATTGTCGCATTTGTCACTTGTCACCCTTCTCGGTTGCATAATTCAATTCTGACCATTCTGACCTTTGAAGCGCTGCCACATGCGAAGGGTTTACCCTTGGCCTTGCGTCGCAGAATGAAGCCCCGAAACTACCAAACAACATGTGTTCCGCTACCAGCTGTGCAACCACAAGCTAAACCAACGCATTATCAACAAAAAGACTTGACCAATCTGAAAATCACTTCCGGAATAGACTGGCAACAAAGGTCCGAACGTTTGGGCAACCAAAATGGTCTTCCAGTGGCCAAAGTCCATGTAAGTCACGGCCAGATGTTGCAGAAGAAACGGGTCCTGGACCCAATGCTTCACGTTGTTGAAGGACTCCTTGTCCGTGACCTGGGGCGTGAAAGGAGGGTTGGGTTGCGAAGTACCATCGGGCTTGCTTGCAGCGTGCGTCGCCTGTGAGTCCAAATGAAACCGAAACGCCAAATTGTGCTGCAAGGCCAGCCTAGCGCAAAAGCAAAAAGGAAAGCCATCCCCAAAATAGAAAAACAAACCCAAGTCCTTCTGAACCACCGATGAACCACCGAATTCAAGCGGACGTGAATCCCGAAGTTTGATGTCCACCGCGGTAGGCCCTATGTTCAACCAAACTAAACAACAACTCAGCAGAGCTCAGAAACATTCAGAAACAACCGCCAGGCTTCTCAGGTGGCTCCAGGTGCCGTCCGAGCTGCATCGTAGACCACAATGATGCCTCACTTGCAACCAATGGAACCGGCCAGGTGACACCAAATTGGCCCAACTTGATAACTGAGAAGACCGAGATGCCATGGGCGCCCCGGTAGTAGCTGCTGGTGATGGTGCGAAATCGCTCCTGGCCGGCGGTGTCCCAAATCCTCAGCTGGTCTTGGCTCACCGGGACAAGCCTTGCTTGTGTGCAGGCAAGTGGGTGCAACGATGGCTCTAATTGGGGTTGGTCTTCTTGTGGCAAGAGCTACAACCTACTCGCTAACATGGTTCAACACCCAAGTGTTGCGTCAACCCTGCACCAAGGATCGCCAAAACTCAGGGATCCAGAATTCAAAGGTGGTCACCTGTTGCATCCTTTTCGGGCTATGTCTGAAATATGGACCAAAAAACCGAAACCGAAAGGTCAAAAGGTCGGCTCTGGACCAGTGAGAGAAGGATGTTGGTTCAACTACATTGGGTTAAGCAGGTTCCCACTGAAATCAGCTCTGCCATGTTTTGCCGTCAACCAATCCGGCCGAACTATGTACCAAGGCCCCCCCAGTAAATCACAAACGCCCAATTACATTGGTCCATGAAGGCTGTCTCTCTCTCTGTCTCTCCCTCCCTCCCCCCCTCACTTCCTCCCTCCCCCATCCGCAAGCAAATCTCGCTCGCCCCAGGGATGCGAAAGCGGACTTGTTCGGCCCGTCCAGCCAGACAGTGAGTGGATAAGCCTTTCCCAATTTGAATGACTTAAACGTGTCTTGTGTTGCTTTGGGCGCAACATTCCTCCGTTTCTTCCCTTGTTGATGACTCGGGGTCATCAGGGTCATCAGCATTTTGGCCGTTAAACCAAAGACGCGAACGGCTTTCAACCGGTTTCCCGTTTCACGATGGCCTTGTTCATTTGGGTCTCTGTGTTAGGGGACCCCCCTAAATGGCCTTGGTATTGCTTTTGGCTTCCCCTTCAAAACCGACCAACATGTGCTTTCCACTCTTCTTTGTGATTCACAAGGAAAATATACTGGAAAACCCTGCTCTTGTTCTTTTTTGTTGGGGGGGGGGGGGGGCGGGGGAGCCTCTAAAAACACACACACACACACACACACACACACAGCACACGCGCGCGCGCGGCAGGTTTTTTTTTTTGGTTTTCTCAACGAGGCACTGCAGCTTGATGGTCTTGGAGTCCTGGTCCAAGGTCCGGATCTTGAAATCCACGCCGATGGTGCTGATGTAGCTCTCCTCGATGCGTGAACGAAAAACTTGCTGGTGCTCAGCAGAGAATGCATTCCCACATCCGCTACTGGGCACCAGCAAGAAACGGGTGGCGGTTGCGTGTCCCTCTTTTTGAGGTGTTACCCTTCATGTTGGCGGTCGAACGGGAAACCGAAAGGACAACCACAACTTTGGGCGGTCGACGCAGAATGGGCGTCATTTTTTCTGGGACCCCGGAAAAAATGGCGTCCCATTGGTTTCTTCGTCAAACCAACCAGAGAAGGCTAGCTTCGGATTAATCCGACTTCTGTCAAGGCCCCCAGTAAACTGAATAGATCGGTTTCCTACTGAAAGGGGAACCACCCTTGATTCGTCCTCCAGATCATTCCAAGGTCAACATTGTGGGTGCGTCCTAACAAAAGGCACCCAAGAAATGGGTTTCTTTTCTTTAGACATTCCCTAAGCAGCCCCAAAAAAGGCTAGCGAGCCCCAAAACACGATGGAAGTTGGGTCCGAAGGGAGTGACCATGATTGGAGTCACCGAGCCACAAGAGAAGCTCACCGGAAGGTTCCGGCCTTGAAACGTGCTTCACGACCCTGAAAAGCGACTAGTACTCACTTCTTGAGTGGATTGCCCGAAACAAGTCCAGGATTTGCTTCTGCCACTCAAATGGTCCAAGCCCAAACAGTTTCCAGTCCAGAAACTAACTCAGAGAGTGAGATTCGTCACCACTCAGAATCAGTGAATCAGCGCGTGTAAACCACCGTGGACGCAAACCAGCCCGGTGGCGCTAATTACCCCTCACTTTTGTGGGCTACAAGTAAACAAAAACAAAAAACAAACAACTACTGGATTCATCCGTGACCACTTCACCAAAGCACTTCTATGTGTGTGTGTACCATGTGGCTCTATCCTGGGAGGTTTGCCTATAGGTCCTTTGCTCACGTTCGCGGATTAATAGACCTGGCGGATTCAACATAGGGTAGTGTCTTTGCGTGTTGGTTACCCCCATAAGCATCAGAAAGCACCTTCCATTGAAGACAAGTCGGGGCTAGTTGCAAGTTGTTGTTTGAGGCCCAAATTCTGTTTTGACCCGCCCTGCTTGCCGGGCCCATAAACCCAAAGTTGAAACCGAGTTCGAAAAATTGGCTAGGGCTTCGAAAAGAGGACTCCCTTTTTGTTTGCGGGTTGAGCCCTTTGATGCCATGGACATCCCCCCAAAGACCCAAGGCGCCGTGTAGGTATCATCCGCGAAGCGCAGCAACAGGCAGGACTTGCCGACACCTACGTCCGTGCAGGTTTCCCAGGTGACAGTTCAACTCACTTCCGATCGGGATGGGCCAAAACAAGTCCAGGAACTGGTTTGTATCTACCGCTAAAATGGTTGAAGCCCCAAAAGTTTGAGGTTCAGGAACTCAGAGAGTGAGTCAATCTTGTTGGACTGGCTTTCAAGTAGTCTTCCCAAAGCATGGATGCGGACTCCGACATGTGCCCGAATGCCTTACTTGAAGCATACAGATCGCGTGGCATCCTGTCGTGTTGGACAGCTACCTTCAGTCTCAGTTGCCACTTGGGAACCAAAGGTGATGTTGAGGGGCCCACGAATGTTGACCTCATGTTAATCAACCCCAGTGTATTCATAGGGGGTCCCCTTCAAAAGTTATGATTCCCCACTACACCCAGGGACACCCCCTATTTGTTTATATATATATATATATATGTATACGCTGGGGTTGATTAATATGGGGTCAACATTCTTAACCAAACAAACGGGGGAATTTGTTTTTGGCAAGTGGGTCCTCCGGTACACCGCGGATTCGCCAAAAGCTCCCACTGCGTCACGTAAAAAGCTTGAGACCCCTCGGTCTGCCCAAGAGACCTGAACCACAGTCCCCTAGTGACAGATACCCCGGGCTCGGGAAACCAAAGGCCCAGCAAACCGCACCCGGCGCAACCGGCTCAACCGGCGGCGCCTGAGTCGCCGATGAGCAGCAGCTTGAAGAGATAGTCCTTCAGTGGCAGACTTAGGGACTGTGTCCAACCCTCGGTTGCTCTGAACCTCTGCAAAGACTTTAACTTTTGGGTTCAATGGAACACGCAAAAGATGTCAACCATCAAGTTAAAGTCTAAAGACCCAACCCAGTGGCAATCAAGAAGCTGACCTGGCGGCTGCAGTGGCTGTTCCATTCAACCTCTGGACTTCGTGGTTTCGCGGGTAGTGAAGCTGAGATTGACTGGGGTCGAGCTTGAACGTAAGCAAAGCAGCATGATGTAAAACCAAACATGTTTTTCCAGTCAAATGACAACTCCACAACACATTCCACATGGATGCTTGCTCTGTCTGAAACATGATTTCATCATAAGAAATATTCATCCCTTTGCGATTTCCTGCAGGGGGCCACAATACAATTGAGCTATTTGACCAGCTCAGCCAATTCCCAACATACAACAGGAACCCGTCCGCCAAAAGCCCTTCCGGCCACTGGCCTGTGACCATAACAGGCGGAAAATTGGGCTAAGGGTCTTATCGATCGATTAAATGTTTGGGTCTCACAATATGTCCTTTTGACCAACTCAGGGTGTGGTGGGACCGGGGACCGGGTTCTGCATTCGAATCCCCGATCGGACCCTTAGGGTAGAACAAACCTCAACCTAACCAAACTGTATGATCAACAGGGGGTGTTCCCCTCCAATAGTGATAAATCCCCAGTAAACCAGGCTGGGAGACCCTTGATACACTCGGGGTTAAGCCGAAGTTGACATTATCCAAAACTCTGCTTGCCTCTGGCCCTCTGCCTCTCGGTCTGATCGCCTCTCGGCCTCTCGGCCTCTCGGCCTCTCGGCGCGATCGACCCGGACCTCTGAGCCCCGCGCGTACTCGGGGGTCGCCATGGAAAAGGTCTCGGCGCGAGGTCCTGACGAACACCGAGGCATAGGCATGCGCACGCCCGTGTTCCTAATTCGAAGAAGCTGAAACAATCACCTCCATTTGCGTTTGTGTCCCCTGGGAAAAATAATAGATATGTCCAGTAGTGATAGATTCCTTTTAAAACCAACAGGGAAAAATAGTCTTGACCAAATGGAAGACAAAATTATCAAGTAAGGGAGCCTCTATGCATCTCAGCCGTTCACCTTCTTCGGATACCCTGCGATCCGTCCTGGAGCTGAAGACGGGATCGCGAATCGCGGCTTGGGCCAATGGCACAAAAGCGAGCAGCTTTTGCGCGGCCCGTTGGGCCCAGGAAAGGGAACCCAAGGACACCCCCCGAAACCGACACCCGATGGAGTTGCGTGTTTTTTAGCAAAGAAAGACACCGAATGGAAAACGATTCGGCGAAGGAGAGCGGAATCCATTCTAACATCATCTGCCCTGGTGAGCACCAAGTGATTCTTTCACATGCCTGGCGCATGGGTTGCAAACCCCAATGCCCCCATTGACCCGTCTTCAAGTGGCAGGATGCCACTTAAGAATGCCCCTGTGAACATCACTCCCCCCGAAGGGCAGCCCTTTTGAACGGTGCATGAACCCCTCCCTCAGCGGGTTGTCTTGAACCCCATTCCTATGGGGCGCCAAATGTCAGTCCTAAAGGTGATGATTTCATGATGCTTGCCTAGGAGCCAATGAGTATGCCAAAGAAAGCCTGAAAGAATTCACCACTAGAAACCAAATATACATCTGAGGCAAACCGTAAGGACTGCTTGGCGCATACGGATATGCTGCATTAACAAACCATGCCCAACAAAAAAACAGTTGCACCCCATTCAGCCATTGGGCCCGGTGCCGACAACCCCACAGAACATGAACAGAAACCAAGCCAGCAAACCACTTAAAAAAAAAAAAAAAAAAAAAAAAAAAAACAAGTACATGATCAGGCATCTGAACTTGAACGTAGATGACTCCGCGCCGCTTGTGAAATGGTCCACGAATCCTTGACGGATCCGGTTTGCGGGGTCAGTGGTTCAGGTTCAAAAGGGCCCATTGGAGTGCGTCGAGGGGCTATCCCTAGCCCTAAAGGCCTCGAAAAGGGGAAAATGGGTTATAGCTCCCCATAGCCCCCTTTCAAGTCCAGTCTGGGGGAAAATCGGCCGGCCACGAATCGGCCAGCCAATCCAGCCACGCAACTTTCAGGGCCCACCGATTTGCCCAAGTGTTCACCCAGAACAAAACCACACAAGCACACACACACACACACCCAAAAAAAACGACCACACAACCGCCACAGCTGAACACACATCAACCAACCACTCAACCAACTACCAAGTTGTAATGTAAAACCAGCAAACCCACCCCAAAACCACCCCAAAACCACCCCAAAGCCACCCCAAAACCACCCCAAAGCCAAACCTCAACCCCCCCCCAACCCCAGGCTCCCCGGCGCCAGGTCGAAGGCGCTTAGCCCCTGGAGGTTCCGAAGGCTCGCGTCCGCCCCTCAGCCAACGACCCCATCGAGCCGACAAATCCGGGGGCCCGGCGCAAAACTTTTGGGGCTTCCCTACCCTGTCAAAAACTCACTTCCGACTCAGTTGGCCAAGTATAGGTTTCTGCGTGTATGTTTTGTATGTGTATAGATATACGTCCTGGTATTTTGTACATGTGCATATATATATATATAGAGATACTATATGTATATATATATATATATGAGCTTGGTTTTGAATGGCAACTAAAATGGCCCGAGCCGAAACAAGTCCAAAGTGTTTTATGCACCACACAAATGGTCCAAGCCCAAACAAGTCCAAACTTTTTATTCAGCACTAAAATGGTGCAAAGCCAACAAAAAGTCCAAACTTCTTATTTACCACTAACATGGTCCAATTTCAGAATGTTCAAAGTCTAGGAAATCAACCCTGTCTCCAATCAGGGAAGTGTGCAGGATGGTTTTGGAAGACTATCCTCTTGAAAAGGTCCCTTGTCCCTTCCACGCGTGTTGGAAAAAGTGCCCTCTTAACCACGTGGAACCTGACGGAGGGGGGACGATTCTGCTGAAGGGACCATCTGGTGGGGTCCATGTTGGTGGACAGGAGAGTAACACGACTCTCCATATTTTCCCTTTGAACATCACAGGAAATATCGGGCAATTTCCCCCAAAGAGGTCGACAAAATAAAGGCAAAGAAACAATGTAGTGATTCAGAGGGTAGGCAATGTAGCTTCAGCTTCTTGTGGCGCTCATTCAGAAATCGTTCTGTCCCTTTGGACCTGCATGGAATCTTCTAGAGCTTCCCAGTGGTTGGACGTTCTAAACCCCGAAACGGGGGTTTGCCTCTCATTTCGTACGCCCAAAACGTTGAACAGCTCCTTCGCTTCCCGAGCGGGTTGGCCAGACATGTCGGTGGCCAACTCAACATGGCCGTCCGAATCAAGTGACTACGCTCCGAAAGCCCAGGCGAAATGTTGCTACCCGGTTTCGTGTTGTTTGAGGGAATCCCCGATGCCACGTTGGCGCTGGACACTTGGGACACCATTTTGGGATTCACGTCCGCACGTTTGAGGTGGGTCGACCCTTTTTTATGTCACAGCCAGCAGGGTTCAGCCCGGGCTTCATGCTTTTCGAGAAAAAAACAAACATATACCGCACTTCTGGGCCCTGAGCGGCCCGAATAACACGCCAGGCTGATTGCCCCTTGGAGGTCCAGTCAAAGGCAAGCCAAAAGGAAATCCACCTTCAGGTACCTAGAAACAAAATGGTACCCTAGAAAACTACCCTTTCCTTTTTGGGGGGTACCTTGGCTTTTACCAACTTGGAGGGTGCCCTAATCTAAGGGTAGATCCACCTCGGGCCATGCCAGTCCTGGGATCCCCTGACGGCTTTCCAGCAGCGCAGCGCAGATCTCCCGTGCGCCGCTACAGGCCTTGGCTGTCCACTCCGCCTAAGGGTTGCCCCGGAGGGGGTGGGGCAGTGGAAGGGGTCTTGGAAGTCAAATGGACGAAACCAAAGAAACAAAGCTCCGCAAAAATATTCTTTTCCGGGGGGTGGGGGGTATGCAAAATTGGTCTTGAAGACGAAACCTTTGGGAGCTACCAGGAGTTCTGTAAGAACTCCTGGTAGGCTATATTTAAAGCCGGCAGAACACTCTTCCTAAGAGGAAACCTCCCCAGCCCAACCCTAGGCATTTGGAAAAGAAAAACATGCGAAACCGCGGGGAGATGAATGGAAGGCCTAAGGTGTACCCAGCAAGAAGAAGAACCTCCATGAAACCAAACGGATTATACCTCCATGAAAAAGAAGAACCTCCACCATTGTACCTCATGAATCCAAGCCAGCCTGCCCCTTTCTGGCAACCATTTGGGCGCACATCCGGTAGAACCAAACTGGTGTGTCGCTTCCATTTGGGGAAGCCAAGCCAGACAGGGCATACCTGGGAATCCCAAGGTGTGTAAAATGTCTGCCTTTTGAACGAAAACCGCTTTTTCAGTCTGGGAACATAAATTTCTGCCTCCAGGCGTTTTTGGGGGAAACTGACTTTTGCCAAGGTCAAGCTGGTCGACTGATTTTTTACCAACGGCGTTTTTCGCCAATCAAACGGCGTTTTTTGGCGATCAAACGGCGTTTTTGGCCGTTCACAGCAGTCCTTGAATATTGACGAATTGCTCCAACGGCGTTTTGGGGGATAAAAAGCGTTTTTTTGCAGCAACGGCGAAAAATAGTGCAATTTCAATCAGCGGCAGAAATTCAGCACCGCCGGCCGGGCTTTCCAGGTATGGGGGTTGTCTTGTTTAAGCTTGCCACAATTGCTTCCGTTTTTCCTGTTGGTTCCCACTAAAGCCATCTAAAACCACCAAGCACAAGGTATCCTTAAAGCAAACACACCCACAGCCTCAAACCAAAAGTGGGCCTTCCCGAGTCCCGAGTTCCTGCGTGTCTCTGTGACCCACATACTAAGACACAAGCAAAAGCTGGTAGCGGGGTCTATCCAAAGCAGAATCACGAGGGCGACTACACCGTTGTCTGGGACTGTCCCTACCCATGCCTTACCCGGCTCAAATTGTGTTGGGACATACCCGCTGTGGCTACACCTATTTCTGCTTGGGACTATCCCCTTGTAACAAAGGTTTTGTTCGATGTCGCCGTGTGAAAATGCCTGGCTCGCTCGATCCGCTCGATCCGCTCGATCCTTTCAGACGCACTTCACAGCTTGGGGTCTTGAGACTCCAGTGACACGCCCCCGCCGCTGATGCGCCTTGGGTCAAGCAGGGCTCCGGTGGTTGCATAGGCACAATTTAAGCTGTTCTCATATTTTCCTTTTGCTCATATTGTTCTTTTGGGGAGTCCATTGATTTGTTGGATCTTGTTCAGTATCTTCAAGCCCAACTAAGCCATCAAACATGTGGGAATTGAGCCAAGAGGGCGACCAAAGGTCAAAAGGGCGACCGTGTTGAGCGGCTCACAATTTATCTTTTAACCACAAGCTGGAGATTCGAAGGATCAGCTTTGGGATGTCAATTTGATGGACCCTGTTATCATGCAACCAAATGACCCAGCAACCCTCCGCAAGAGCTGCAAGCTCAGCAGCTCTTGCTACTCCCAAATGATGGATAACTACTCAAGGGGAAATCCCTGCTAATGCGATCTCAGTTGAAGAATGGGCATGATCCCTCGAGCTCATCCGACATCTGCTTCTAGCAAACTGGAAATGCACCCTTTTTGGGCTGGTTTGTAAATAGGGGCCACGGGGAAATAAACGTGTTGTTTGGGGGTCCCCTTGGAAAAGCCCTAGTCAATCGCAAGCAACACATGTAACAGTTCAACAGTTTGCAAGTCAGACAATATGAGCACCAACCACTTAAACAGGGCTCCTCAAAGGATACATCCAAAACCAGCGACTGGCCCAAATGCATCTATTGAGGAACACGGGCAACTCACTTCCGGAGTGAATGGCCAGAAAAACTAACTGCTTGTTTGAAACGATTCTGGTCTTCCTAAAAAGTATAATGTTCAGGAACTCGGGGAGTGAGAAAACCCCCCAACATGCTTCAAACTGATTTCCTGGACTGGCCCAAATTGCATCTATTGAGGAAAAAGGATAACTCACATCTTGAGTGGATGGCCCAGAAAAAGTCCAAACTGTTTGTTTACCACGAAACTGGTCTTCCCAAAAAGTATGAAGTCCCGGAACTCAGGGAGTGAGAAAATCCAAAAAATGCTGCAAACGTGGCAGGGAACCCCAAAAAACATGGAGCCAGGAGAGGGGGAGGAGCTCAAATGAGCCCTTGTTAAGCCCTTAATAAGTCCTTAGTTCTTAGTTGAGGCTTATTTGGGCTCCAGGCCCCCTCCCCTCCGTCCCCTCCCTCCCCCCCAGCCCCCATCAAAAGTGAGTCAAGAGAAGGCTTCAGCTGACCAGGGCGCCGCCAAAAGCTCACGAAGGCTCCCTCCGCCGCCTCCATACGTCCTGAGAATCCATGGCTGGGATTGAATCCCCCGCTAAAAGTGACTAACTTTTAGTGGGTTAAATGGAAACCACCACCAAGCACTAAAAGGCTAAAAAGCTAAGGGGATGCCAAGTTACTGGGGAAGCGGATGCCCCCCATGGTTTGGTGATGCGGATTTGTGGCTTGGGGATTTCAACCACTGGTTCTTGTGGAGGGCAAACGGAAAGCAAGCCACGAACCTCTAAACCACCAATCCAAGCCACCCACTGGCGGGCAGCATATTTTACTGGGGTGTCAAAAAAAAACGGAAAAAATGGTAACAATCAAGCAGGGGTCAACTTCAGTTGCAGCAGCAAACCCTGAGAATATTGCCCCAGAATGCCCACCATATGGGGTCAGGGTTGCCCTCGTGCTGAATCCGTTTGACTTGCAGGGCCCCTCGCTGCCTCGCAACGATGGCAGTTTCAGCGATGACATGTCAATGACCTGTTCAGAAATCCTCAATTATTGAAGGACTTCCCTGGTTTCAGGATTTGGTTTTTGACCCTGGGGTGTTGGAACTATAATTGGGACTTTGCCCGAAGCGTAAATGATTCCCCTTGAGGTATGCAAACCAAAGTTGAGAAGCCCGGACCTAGACCAAGCTACCAATGCAAATGCGGAAGCCCGAGGGGGCAACAACAAATCAGATCCGTGGTTTTAGGGCCCCTGGTTTTGGGCTAAACGGCCAGTTGCTGTCTAAAGTTCAAACCACAAGGTCAGATCCCGTCGATTCGGTGAGGCTGGGTATAGTTGAGAGCCTGTTTTGGGTTCCTTGAACCGTAGGGCCCCGTAGGGACTCCATTCCCCAAGCCCTCGACTTGGAGAACCCCCGCCTTCCAGAAGCTCCCGAACCCCCTGGCGAGGGCCAGACAAGAAAAGGCGGCAACTCTTCCCCACCCGAGGGAAACCATACCACGAGTTTTGGACAACAGTGGGGTGGTTTGGGGAGGCAAGAACTTGGGGAAAAGGACCTCGGATATTGCAATGCTAGTGAGTTGGACTAAAGATCGGAAGGATACTGATAGGTGGTTCTAGCATGGCACAAGCGGTCCGAAAGGGAATTGGAAACGAGCCTGCGACCATCCCTGCCGAACAAGCGCCCAAGCAAGATGCGACCCCCAAAGTGGCTCTTTCCGCTGGGGCTTTCCTTCAAACCAAGGAATGGGTTCTCCATCCTTGGTTGACGGTCTTGCCCACGGGTCAAGGCGGTTTGGATGTGGCTTCGTTGGTCTATCACTGTAGCCTTTTTGGCATAAAGGCGATATAAGGTTTTATGCATAAATACCCTTATTCTTTAAAAAACATTAAGGGAGGGGGTGAAAAGAGTACTAAAGATTACTAAAGAAGGACCAACAAGGGAAAGAACATGCGAAATCCGCAAACAGCGCATCCGAACCGCTTTCTAGACGCGTGGTCCCTGGCAACTGTTTGTGCTGTTGGCATGTAAATCCTGAGGTAAGAGCCGTCCATGAGAAACTCCAACATCTCAGACCGCTCGATTGCTGCTCACTTGTCAGGTTTTCACGTAGCCCGCTCAGTGCGCGGTACAAAACCATTTGCACAGTGTGTGAAGCAGCAGTCTGAGAACATGAAAACCACTCATCCACTCATCCTGTGCCTTCATGCAGTTCCATTCAGACAGTTAGTTGCAGGGCGGCCTGGAAACCCCATGTAAGGAGGGTGGTCTTTACTCAGTCACAGGTCCCGCTGCTTTCTTTACGTCCCTGCAAATAGCATTGGCAACAAACACATGTTTTAGAGGAACCTCCTTTGGGGGAAGCCCGTTTTTGCGGGTTCCATGTGAATCTATGAGGGAGTTGTTCCAGGGAAATGGACCTGGCAGGCGCGTAGCTCCCGCCAAGCGCTGGCCTTCTTCTTCGTGGCGATGGAGACCTGGCACTCGTGCATGAATTGGTCCACATGGGGCCCGGTCTTTTTTTGGGGTGCCCTTTTGGCTTGGTTTTAAGGGAAAGCCAAAAGGAAACCCACCAACTTGGAGGGTGCCTAGCTCCTCCAGATTTGAGAGGTTAGAATTTGTGGGTACCAACGTTTTTCTTGTTTGTCTATTTTAGTAAGGGAACCCTCCCACCCAACCAAAAAAGGGGTGAGAAAGGGCACTACTGGGGTACCTAGAATGTATACTGGGGGGTCCTTTACGTGGAAGGACCAGTGAGGAATAAACCGTGCAATAGGACAAGTTACCCGTGGTCCTTGGCCAGGAAACTGCCAAAAATCTTAATCAACCCTCCCCCCAACATAAATACATTCACAAGTCACAAGTACATACTTTAGTCTGCACTTTGTTAGGTCATGTGTTACGCACCTCCTGTTCTCCATCGCTCTGCGAAAGTGTCCCTTCTTTTACGCTCTGCGAAAGTGCACCATGGCCCTTGTGATATCGACCTAGGTCATACCAAAGGGGCCCAGCATGTGATGCCGAACAAAAATAATAAACAAAGAGAAATATAGTTCACTTCTCGAGCGGGGTGGCCAAACAAAGTCGACACTTGTTATTTACCACTTAGCTGTTTCCCCCCCCCCCCCCCAAAAAAAAGAAAAAAGAAGAAACAAAAAAAACAACAAACAACGCGTGAAGTCCATCAACTCGGGGAGTGAGATAGCCACTTTAGACCTCCGGGCCCCGGCCTCGACGACATCTGAGACCTTCATGAACTCCTCCAGGACCTGCGGCTTTCGCCAGTGGAAAGCCCAAACTTCAACAACTGGGCCCAGACCGAGACCCAAATTGTGGGCAAACCCCGGGTGGCGCCAAACATGTGGTCAAATGAAAAAAAAAAAAAAAAAACGTGGGCTCTTCAACAAAAAGTCCCCTGCCATAGCCGGTTGATGAGCACGGCGTGCATCAGACGTGTGTTCAGATCGAATTCATTCTGGCGATTCTGGGATGGCGAATGCGACCTGCGGGGGCGAAAGGACTCGCGACTGGGCTGGTCGAGGTTGAAATGGGGAAGCACCCATTTCCGGGTTTCCCAGGCAGAAGCGACAGGATCCTGGGAAGTCATCCAAAAAATGAGCTTCCCAGCTCAAGACAAGCGTGCTCTTGCTTTGACATTTCTTTGGACAGGAAACATCCAGAAGCCACCTGCTTCACACGGGGCTGCTCAAAATTCGGCGGTCAAGGCGATGTTGTTGACTGGCCCAAATGCAACCTATAAGAGACTGCTTGTCAACCTTTTGCACTTACAAGCGCATGGGTGTCTCTTTTTTAGGGGGAGAACCCCAAAAATGTTGATTCTCTTTTTCAGTTTCCCTTCAAAACAGGCACAAAATGGGGCCCCCTGTTGAAGTAGCCTTGGCTTTCCTATGCAACAAGCTGATCACGGGGCCCCGCAGGGTTGAAGAGCTCTGGAGTTCTTCCCTCAGAAAGGCCCGACATTGGCCTTAGCTCAGGGCCCAAGTCGGAATCACAGCGCCCTGTTCCAAAAGAGGCTCCCGAAAAAGCTTCCGTGTAAAGCTCCTTAGCAAGACGTACAGAGATCTTCGCTCTTTCTGCTGTTTGAACGGCCAACCCAGCGGATGCCGGGGTCCGGTTGCCCCGACCCCTCGAAGCACCAGGCTGAATTGGCCGCCTCGTCGCTGGTGGCCAGCCGGTCCACAAGGCCTTTGGACTTGGCATCCGCTCCCAGGAAGACTTCACCCGTGGCCACCTGGCGCTCCAGAGCCGAGTCGTTTCGAGTCTTGTTCAGGCTGTCCTTTGGTTGCTTGGTTGAGATAGACCTTGGCTGAATAAAAGGCTGATTGTATAGGTTGAACCAAAGGCTGATTGTATGGGTTGAATTCTTTTGGCTTTTTTGCAGGCCTTGCCTTTGGCCAGGTTGAACCTTCATCCTGGTCCATATTTAGCGAACCTTCAAACGCACAATGAGTTCCCAAGAGACCCCGAAAAGGCGATAAGCAAATTAGGTGATGCGCTGGTTGAATCAAAGGCTGATTGTACAGTTCCATGTATGAACCCATGCCCATGTGGGACCCCAAAAGGGGGCTGATGTCCCAGAATTAAGCCATGACCAACAGGTGATCAACCCATAAACTAGGGGTTTATACCAGGGGTTCATAGATGGCAGTCAGCCAGCCGACCCGGTTCTTGCCAGGTCGAAGACCTGGGATCCATGTTTGAATGGGTAGCCATCGAAGAGGCTTCGTGCAGAAACCTGCTCGTGGTTGGGTGCACCGACCTAGTGTTGGAGTGTTCAATGGTTGATACGTTGATTCCACTCTTGGACGGGAGCCAACAAAGCGAAAAGTGACTTAGCTCGTAACTGGGAACGAAGGAAACCAACAAACGATCCATTTCTAGGAACAGAGTTTCCTTCTGCAAAAAGATCCCTTGGAAAGTTCAACAAATATTCATTCCAGCAAGTGCAAGCAAGCCAAACCATTCCCTTTAAAACCAACTAGGGAGAAATCAAGACATATTGTTTTCAGCAAATGGTTCAGAAACCGAAGACGGACCAAAGCCCAAAGCTCAGGTCGCTCCGCTTCCCGGAGCAAAAATGCGCGCCTGTTCCACGTCCAGGGACTCCCGCTGCTCTTGCACCAGACCTTTGAAGGCATCGTGCACCGTGCGCACGTCCTCGGGAGCCCTAAGAAAGGCGTCACGAAAGGGGCGTTTTTTGTTTTTTGTGTTTTTTTTTTTAATAGGACCCCCCCGTTTTTGGGGGTGTTAAGGGACACATGAGATTTTGTCTCGGGTGGGAGTGTGTTTTCTTTGGACACCGCCCATTGTTTGGTGGTTTGAACACAAACCAAAAGGAACAGCACTGTTTTTTTTGAGGGAGGGTCCCTACAAAAGGACGCACCCAAAATTTGAAAAAGGGGTCAGGTCAAAAGCGTTGGCCGGATGTAGACCCTCGGCAAGGAGCGACTGTCCCCTTGCTTGAGAGAGAAATAATTCGCAAAACCACAGAGGCACAAAGTTGGTCAAACAATGGATGTACATGGAGGGTCTCCCTGCCAAACCAAAGTCAACAAACGACATCCCCCAACTCCGAACCCCAAGCACCGAACCCCAAGCACAAGGAACCCTACAACTGGCAAAAAGGGCAGCATGTTGGCTTGCCTGAGTTCACACCTTAAAAAATGGGTTGAGAGGTACTTCACAAACAAAATCACGTTCCATAGAGAGACATGGGTCCTTTTTTTTGGTTTTGAAGGATTGAAGGGAGACCAAAAGGAGACCAAGCATTTCGTCGCGTCCATTTTGAGACAAACCCACATGTTAGATCCCCCTGCCTTCCGAGGGGGTGGGTCCCCAATTTTATCCATCTTTCCCCCGTAAAAGTACAATGGAAACAAACCAGATCTCCAGGGGTCAAATTCTTTTTTTTGGGAATAGCATCATGATAGAATTCAGCCCCGCGCACGCCAAGAGGAGCTGGGCGGTCCTCTTGCACCTTCTGCTTGGCTTCTTCGGTGACCTCAGACAGGGGGTCCAGCGTGCGCTTCCACTTGCCTGAGGTGATCTGCAGGAAGTCGATGTCGTTCCTGTTCCACATGCCGCAGGCGGCCCCATAATGCTCCAAGATAAGGTCTTCTTGAGTCTGAGCTTGACATTTCCCCAACCCCATTCTAACTGTTCATGGGTCCCTCCCATCTGCAAATACGGAAATTGTTCCGAAACCTGAAAATAAGAAAATATAGGAACGTCAGGTAAAGGACTTGGTGACCTCGGGTTACCCCCCCGAGTTGGTGGCATCTTTTGCCAGCACCGACAAAAAGCACCCGCCCTGTCCTCTTCAACACCTTGGAGAAGTTCGGCATGGCGGTCAGCACGCCTCAAAGTTCAGAAGCCAAGCGGGGAATCTACGCGAGTCTCGGGATCCTTCGGCTTTTGTCATGGGTTTGCTGGAGCTTTTGCCCAGAATGTGGTGCTCATGAGAGGCTAGTGGAATCCAGTAAACGGGAAAGACGGGGGTTTTCCGCACAAATTGAAGCCCAACCAAAGGGGTACACCAAAACAATGTTCGGCCCAAAAAGCCAAAATCCCCGGTGTCACGTCAGCCTAGAATACGTTAACATATCTTGGAGACCCATGGGCTTCCTGATGCTTTTCCTATGTTTCCTGGGGTTTGAATTTCCCCGCGCACAGCCACAAACCGGCCGGGTGCCACCGGTTTTGGTCCCCTTTGGGTCCCAGGCCGATGGACCCCACCAGGGAGAAGGGAGTGGCCACCACGGTGTCCGCCTCAACTCCGTTGGCCTCCCAGCCTTTTCACATGGAACCTGACGTAAAAAGACGTAAAAAGGGGGGTCCTGGTGAGGACCATTAAAGGAACCTTTTGCGCTGGGAGGGTAAGGGTCGAGTCCTTTGCAGGTTTCCGTTTCGTTCAACACGGGGCCTCGAACAAGGTACCCTTGAAAAGCATGGCACTTTCCTTGCTCAAACGCCTTATCTTGCTGCGGAAGTGAGCAAAACCGAAAACAAACCCCCGCCAAGTGGTAAGTTAAAGGGAACCAGACCCGGCTTCTCACTTTGATAACCCCCAGACACAGTCAACCTGAGCCCAGAGGCATCTTTGGCAACAGACTCGCTACGAAATGGCGGAAGCACGCTCCGACCGGGTGCCGGGCAGCGCAGGCCATCCTGGGATGCAAAGAAGTGAGTCTCCTCTCGCTGGATCGGAGAACCCTCGAAGATGGGTGATGCGCTGTCCGTTGCCCTATATGTCCGCCAAGACAAAAAGAACACACCTATACCTACCTGCACCTTCCAAGGGCTGCATGAATCGTCAAACGAACCCAAGTACGAGCACTTGCAAATCGACCGGCCAAAGCCAGGTCAATGGGCTCAATATGGAAAATATCATCCCGTCTGCCCAGCTCCTGGCAAAAGGAGCCAGTGCAACTTCAAAGCCACTCCACTATGGAAAGGGAACCGGCAGCTTTCTGAAGAAACATGGCACGCGGAAGGCCGCGAGATCCTTTGCCGCGATCAGGGGTCAAACAGGCAATGGGGTCCCAACACTTCTCGCCGCGAACACATGCAACCAAGAGACATGTAGCCACCTGATGCAGCGACCTGCACAAGAATGGCACCAGAGAGTATCTGATTAGCTCTAAAAAAAATAAAAAACATGATCGATTAAACCAAACACTTCCTTGATGGGCGGGTCCCTTCAAAGTCAACCCGTAATAGCATGCCGGCAAACAGTGCACTTCTTTGCCGCCCCCCATCAAAATTCCGAATCAGCAAAACACAATTCCACAATTAAATTCACATCGAGCTCATGGTTTTTGGAGGCCTTGTCGATTTACAATAACTTTACATCTTCACTGCGCAGAGTGTTTAAAGCATAGGAATCGACATGCTGAAAAAGCCGAGCAGTTGAAACTCCGTGGGGGGGGGGGCGTTGTGGGTGTCTTTGAGAGTTGGTGTCCGGAGTCCGGTCTCAAAGGTGGCAACACCCTCCGACTCAACTCACTTCCCGAGTGGACTGACTGGCCAGAAAAGTCTGATTTGTTTACCGGTTTTTCCAAACAGTTTAAAGTCCATGAACTCAGGGAGTCAAGGTAAACCATAGCTGGAAACCCAGCATCAAAAGGTCGGTTTGCACTGTGCTAGATCTACCCGAAGGGTCCTGATCTAGGTCCTCCAGTACAGAGGATAGACGAAGGGTACCAACTTTTTTCTGTAGTCTATTTTAGTAGGGGCTTGCCCTCCCAACCAAAAAAGAAAGGGGCGAGAGGTCGGGCACCGGGGGAGTTTCCGCCCGCCTTGTCCACGCAGGCCGTGAGCTTCAACCTCAGATGGGGCCATCCGATCACCCGCCACGGCTCGGAGAGTGGCCCCTGGAACCACCCCTTACATTCTCCCTGAAATGCCCAGCCATGGGAGAAAAAAGGCACATGGCGCATTTTTTCTGGTTTGAGCTAAAAGGGAAACCCTTCCCCAAAAATAGGGACACCCTTTTCCTGTTGATTGAGTTTAAAGGGGAAACCGTTAAACAAAAAAATGGATGGAACATGGGCACCACATCGCCCAGCCCCGTGTCTGACTGACCTGCCAAGCGCTTGGCCCCTGGTGCCGCAGCCGCAGCAGCTGGGCGGCGCCCAGTCCGTAGTCCGCCACGGCGCCCCCCGGCGACGCCAAGCGCACCACCGCCTCGCCGTCGCGCGTCGCTCGCCGTCGAGCGGAGGGCTCGGCGGAGGAGTCCCCCAGAGCCGTGCGGTTGACGAATCGCGCTTGGAATCCGGATTCCGGGGCGTCATGTTGAAGCGACGGAGACATGGGGCTTCCGTTTCGTCCGGGGAGGGGGGGGGATGCACTTGAGAAACAGTGACTAGAGCGAAAACACTCCCCCAAACTAGGATGTTGCCTTCAGCCAGAAAGACAAGGGGGGTGGGCGGCCTTTGATGAGTTTAGTCAAAACCATCAGACGAGTCGACTGGCTTAAATTACAATCCGGCGATGTGGTGGTGTCCCTTTACTTGTGAGGCATGGTGATTAGGGCTATTAGGCCCCACCCCATGGAGAACAAACCGTTTGTTCTCCATGGGGTGGGGCCTAATAGCCCTAATCACCATGCCTCACAAGTAAAGGGACGCCACCACATCGCCATCTGGCAACAAACAAATGGGTTGTAATTAAACCAAGTCCGAATCCATGGACCCCTGTTCACAAAGGAAGACCTAAATTTGCCACAATCAAAAGCAATATTTACAGCAACTGATAAAAAAGGCATTCACCTTTTACTTCGGTGGGCTGGACATTGGTGAGTGAGCTGCCCAACATGTCTGCACTTTTTGTTCCTCACTTGTTTGTGGACATGGGTTTGAAAGACAAGAACATGGTACATGCTTGGAGAGGGAACCAAGAATTACGACGTTGAAACAACGGGTGTTCAAACCTGTCTAACACAAGGGGGAGGCCCAACCCTTTGGCATAGTTGAATCGAAGGATCAACCCCACGGTTCACGAGTGATTGCATGCTAGCACATTGAAGGGATCTATGGACGGTCGATTCGTCGTGAACTCTGGAAGCAACGGACATATTATTGGAAACTCAGCAGCCATGAGCCACTTCTGAGTCAAAGGTGATGGCACAGTTCTGTTTACCAGTTGGAAAACAAAACTGGTAGGTCCTTAAGGACACCCAGAATTGAGTTGAATTTTGTTTTCCTTTGCAACGGCGAGTCAAATTGGTTTACCAGTAGACCAAATTATTCCAAAGGAAAGCCCATGCCCCAAATACATAGATCGATACATAGACATTGACATGCATTGTCTATGCACCAAAACACATACCTCAGGCCAGTTTGAGTAGTAGTTTCTTGGCTAGAGGTCATTTGGTTCCCTTGAGTTTATGAAAAGTTGGCCGAGGTGAGCTGAGTTTCAGAGGTGCTGATCCGATGTTTCCTATAGCCGCTAGGCTGACGCGCACGGAGCGCAGCTGGTGAGGGGTAGGACGCTATGGTTTCATGAAGCCACCCATATCATGACTTCCATTTGCTTCAGCCCCCTGAATAAAAATGTCCAGTAATCAGTGATAAATCCCTTTGTTTAAACCAACAAAGCAAATAAACCATATTCTTGAGCAACTGGAAGAAGACCAAGGCCCAGTCACACCATCAACAAAAGAAAGGGTCGGTGAGCGCCCAAAACACAACATCCCTGCCGCAGAATTGGAAGAACCCCCTCGCGATTCTTTTTGAAGACGACAGGCGCCTGGTCATGCGGACTTGAGCAGTGGAGGATGAAAGTGACGATGTCACGCAACTCCTTCAGCCGTGCCAGAGCATGTGGCTGTGGGTCAAAAAAAGGGTACTTCAAATGGAACCCTGCCTAAAACCTGCGGTCCCCTGGTGGTTTAATTTTGACCCATACCCATGTGAAGTTCAAGGGGTACGCCACAATGAACTGGGTGGGGTCCTCGAAGCCATCTGAAGGCTGTTTGATTTGATGCAAAGTTGAAAACGGGACGTACATGGTCAATGCTGCCTGTTAGCATGAATTACCACCTGCAAGTACATGAAGCATGTAATGCAAGCCTGCGCAACTGCTCAAACAAGTTGAGGTGAAGACTGGGTCTTGCCTCATGGCATCCGGCATGAAGCAGAACAAATCCCAAAAGCACTTCCAAAAACACATGCCAAGAACACTGAATAACATGTGCTGCCCATGTGCCGGCCCATCGAAACCAGTGACGAGCCTCCAGCTGTTTCTTCATGGCATCTGGCCGCACCACTCCTCGCAGTTCGAGTTTTGGCCGGGGGAAGAGCCACATGCGTTTGTCGTGTTGAAACGGCAACCCCTGTTTTGGGGTCTTAATTAACTTGCTGCGATACGTAGGGGATGAGGAAATAAACAAGGGAATCCCTTAAAGGAAACCATGGGGACGGCTTATAGGTGTCATTCCCTTATTCCCTATTGAGCACCAGCAAGTGGAAATCAAACAAATACCGGGGGTCCGCTACAACAATGACACACCTAAGCGGGAGCGTCCTAAATCCGATCAATCGTTGAATCATGGGATGTTGTCGCGAAACATGATTTATGCAAAAGCAGCCGGGCTGTGGAACATGAGACTAATGTTCGACAGTAGCAAGGGGAACCACTATGAATCTGGCAAAAGGATTAAACATTGGCTTCGAGCAACCAAGCCTAATGAGCTCCCCTCTTGCATTGGGGGCCCTCTATTTGTTGGAAACGTTCAGATGGTCGCAAATGGTCACCCATCCCAGGCCGCCGTCACAAGCTGACACTAAAACGAGAAAAAGAAACAAAAAAAAGAAAAAAAAACGGGCCTGTCTTGGGAAAACAAACTTGTGGCTCCCTGTCCGGGACACAGCCGCATGAAACAGGCTCATACAGCAAAAACATGGGGATGGAATCGCATTCCAGGAAGTGGATTGGCCAAAACCAGTCCAAACGTTTTAGTTCTGACTGAAATGGTCCAGGCCCAAAACGGTTAACGTCCAGGAACTCGGGGAGTGAGAAATGGAGTGAGGTTGAAAAGTGATGAATCCCGACTAAAAGGGGACACCGCCTATTAATCAACCAGGATTTTTAATTCGAGGTTAACATTACAGCTACAATTGGGGCAATGTGCTGGGTTGACGCACACCTCCCGCAGTCCACTCACAAATTTGTCTTTCTCCCTTGTCCAAAAGAAGGCGGTGGGAACATGACGCCTTCGCTCTGCTAACAGGGCAGGTGACGAGAACATATAAAGCAGCAAGATCAAGCTGGCTGAGAATCAACCAACCTCGGCCATCTCGCTGCAGAGGCACAAGGTTGAAACTGGCTATGCTGCGGAGAACCCCCGAAGCAAGGTCTATAATGTGAGGGTATAGAGGTCAAAAGTCAAATTCCGTTGGGGCCCAATTCAGGATCTTGGTCTCATTTCAGGAGCTCGGTCGCCTGTTGTTTGAGCAAATCTTCCATGGTCCAAACTCCTTCTGTTGGTCTTTGCTGTGACTATTGCAATCCAAGAAGTGGTACTTCTCCAGGTTTGCTAGAACCCCTTCTGAAAGTTGATCGATCATGCCCTTGACCCCCAAATAACCCGGTGTTTAACCCATGGCACAAATAGCTACTCTTTCCGCAGGTTCACATGAACAAAAACAACAAACAACACATGATATGCCAGTATTCATGGGGTTTCATCTGGACAAACGTTTTTGTCCATCCGCATCTTTCAGCTGGATCTCCTCTTGCGGCGGCGTTACTTCCGGTCACTCGCGAACACGGCCAGCGTGTGTGTGTGTGTGTGTGTGTGTGTGTGTGTGTGTGTGGGTGGGTGGGTGCGTGCGTTCGTGCGTGCATAGGTGGGTGGGTGGGGTGGGTGGGGTGGGTGGGTGTGTGTGTGTGTGTGTCTGTGTGTCTGTGTGTCTGCGTGTCTGTGTGTCTGTGTGTCTGTGTGTCTGTGTGTCCGTGTCCGTGTCCGTGTCTGTGTCTGTGTCTGTGTCTGTGTCCGTGTCCGTGTCTGTGTCTGTGTCTGTGTCTGTGTGTGTGTGTGTCTGTGTGTGTGTGTGTGTCTGTGTGTGTGTGTCTGTGTCTGTGTGTGTGCGTGTGTGTCTGTGTGTGTGTGTGTCTGTGTGTGTGTGTGTGTGTCTGTGTGTGTCTGTGTGTGTGTCTGTGTGTGTGTCTGTGTGTGTGTGTGTGTCTGTGTCTGTGTGTGTGTGTGTCTGTGTGTGTGTCTGTGTGTGTGTGTCTGTGTGTGTGTGTCTGTGTCTGTGTGTGTGTGTGTGTGTCTGTGTGTGTGTGTGTGTCTGTGTGTGTGTGTGTCTGTGTGTGTGTCTCTGTGTGTGTCTCTGTGTGTGTGTGTGTGTCTGTGTGTGTCTGTGTGTGTGTGTGTGTGTCTGTGTGTGTCTGTGTGTGTGTGTCTAGGTCCTCTATTAGAGAGGTTAGAATAAGGGTACCCATTTTTCTGTAGTCTACTTTAGTAGGGGAACCCGGTTCCCCAAAAAAGGGGTGAGAAAGGGCACCTAGCTGAAACACCTAGGTGTGTGTCTTCCCCAGCCATTCACTTCCGCCGCCGCCGAAGTCCTGCCATGTTCGCCTGGAAGTCGAAGACAAAAGTCTTGGGACGGAGCCGCTCCTTGCGACGGGGCCAGCTGAGGCCGCAGAATCTCAGGACACATGCTTCGGAGTAATCTCTGCGTCGAGTTAATCACGCCGTCAAGCTTCTTGAAAGGTATGTCTAGCATTGCTTCATTCATTGATTCATTCATGTCAGTCAGTCAGTCAGTCAGTCATTAATTCATTAATTCATTTCATTTCAGTTCATTTCAGTTCATGTCAGTTCATGTCATTTGAATTTCATTTGAACTTCATTTCATGTCATTTCATTTCATATCATTTCATGTCATGTCATTTCATTTCATTCATTCAGTCACTCACTCACTCACATTCAGGCTGCAACAAATATGACCATATTGAACTCAGCTACCCCCTGGTTGCAAGTAACTATACGTCGAAACGGACCCCTAAAGGGGCAGTCATGTCCCCAAAAGGGGCATTCATCAAGGAGCTCGTGATACCCGGATCTAGCTGGGTAAAAATGTCCCTCGCCATCCAGGCAAGACAGAGGTATACCCACCGCTGAAAAGCCACATAATGTTACACCTCCTTTATTAATAGTCCCCTCTATTGTAGCATTTTTGTTCGCAATTCAGGATCTTGTGACTGTTTTGGGGTCCTCAATTGCAGCAATTGTTTCCCCGAAAAGATCCAAACAACTTGTTTGTTTTCTCTCCTGATCTTGTCTGGGACTAAGCCCAGGGAATATGGGCCAAACAAAAGTTGGGAAATAAATCGAGCAAAACAAACGAGCGAACAAATCCGGGCAAACAGGATTGTTCAAGTGGTCCCCACACCATCAAATTTAAGATAACTTCCTTACAAAAAAGTGCGGGCAAACAGTCACACAAAGGGGGTTGCCCACGGTGGGCCCGGAGCCTCTTTAAATGTGATTGTTTTGGGGCCCTCTTTAGTGTTTGGGTTGCTGAATTATTAGACTCAAGCACTAGTCTTTTACTTTTAGGGTGGTTCACCTAACCAAGCTCTCCCCAGCTCAAAGGGTAAATAAAGGCCTTGGATCTAGGAAGTTCATTTTGCCAGTGGCCCCCAAACCATCAAATTTAAGATAACTTCTTTACAAAAAAGTGCGGGCAAACAGTCACACAAAGGGGGCTGCCCACAAGGGGCCCTGATCCGCTTTAATGCCAGTGTTTTGGGCTCCTCTTTAATTAGTGTCTAACCTGTTTGGGGGTTGCTGAAGAAAAACGGTCCTTGGCTATACTAAAGTAGAATTGGCAATGCTAACTTAGGCACTGGGAATCTCAGAGTCAGCCTTCGCAATACTACAGTAGAATTGGCAATACTCAAGTAAGTACTGTCCCTCCCAGACCCCCACAAACTCGCTTAAAGGGGGTCCCGCTGACTTGTTCCACTCCTAGCGAAGGGGGTGCAAAGAGGGTCCAACATTGCTATACCCCATTTTCTGTTGGGGTGTGGTTAGGGGACAGTGGAAACCATCTAGCGGTTTGGGGCAAGCTCAACGCTTTCCTTGCTTCAAGGATTCCCAAAAGTCGAACAATTGTTTTTGCCCCCGCCGGGTAACATCGAGCATCCAAAACCGAAGCATCCTTGGAACAAGACAGCGGTAGGGTTTCCACGATGAAACATAGTTCCCCAGCTTCTCTTCCAAGTTTCAAAACACCACTCTTCGAAAGATGATTGTCCAAGATGAAAGCCAGTCCTTGCTCTCACTTCCTGCACGTTTTGTTTTTTTCAAAAAAACAACATACAACACCCATGTTGTGTTTGCCACTGCCACTAGCCTCACTAAAATGGCTCCGGTGAAAAAAAAAAACACTTCCTTTTTGCGCTTCAGCCCCAGGAAAAGTTCGAAGACTTCCAATTAAAACTTCCAGTTAAAATTTTAAGATTTCCAGTTCTAATTGCTAAGATTTCCTTCTAAGTTTCCAACTTCCCAGCCGTGCTTTCCTCTCTCCCCCAAATCGCGCTCCTGCAAGGAGCTCGCCGCCTCGCCGGCCTGCGTGACAGCTCAAATTCGGTTTCCAACGGTCAAAACGAAGGGAAAAAGAACAACATATGGCTGTGGCTCAAAAATAGATACGTACATTGGCACCTTGGTCAATGGAAGCAAAGACTAAAACCTGCGTAACCCTGGCTCTTAAATTTGAGCCACACCCATATTCAGTTCGGAGAATGGAGACTTGGGTGCTGGCGACCCTCTGCAAAAGGTGTTCAACTTTTTGGTGGGTAAGGGTAAGTTTTAAAGTCCCAAGATCCACCCAAATAGCCATAAAGGAGAATGGGGCAAGCCCTGCAACAGAGCGTTGACCTTCTTTGCTAAGGCACCTATCCACAAGGCCAAAAGGCCGACTCGCTTGCCAGTGGTTCTTGTTTGCAGTTCAGCAGCCGAGTAGTCTGACCAACCTGAGGGAAGGTTAATTGTACTAGGTGTCGCTTGTGAACTCTATGGGATGCATTTGATTGAACCACTCTTGGAGTCGGAGCAAATGGACCAAGGTTAAGAGTCGCAGGCCCCCACAAGTTAGAATAAGGGTACCCCTTGTTTCTGTAGTCCATTTTAGGGGAACCCTCCCCCAAAAAAGGGGTAAAAGAGCGGGCACCTAGCTGGGGGGACCTAGCACGGAAGGGTGATTCACTTGCCAACTTGTGGGACTCCCTGGCACACGACTAGAAAACATGATCCCAGGAAAGCCCTTAAAATCATTAGTTCCCCACCCACAGCGGGACACTTCTTGCCCTTTCGGCATGGCTTCTTCTTCATCCAACAGGGTTGGATACCATCCCTGTCCTCTATACATCGATTTTAGTCACATTGGCGCTATGTTTCTACCAGAATCAAAGGACTTTGATACCGGAAATAGGCCAAATTATGACCCCAGCCACAGAAATATTGGGAACCCTTACCCAAGTTTGGCACCCAAACGAGCCGAAAGGAGCGGTGCGGTGCGCTGTCCAAATCCAACCAGGCTCCCTCCATTTCGCCTTAACCTCACCCCAAGGGACATAAAAAAAGCCCTTCCTGGGCCGAAAAGGCGACGTTTACAACCACCCAAGAGGGGCTTGACCCCACCCAAGCGCCGGTCCTTCAGGGACTCCTGGAGGTCTTTGCCCCGCTGCTGCAAGGCCTCGATGAGTTGCTGCTTCTCCTAACCGTGGCCGTTTCAGGAGAGCATCTACCTCCAGCCTGCACCAACGAAGCCACCCATATCTAAGCATATCTATATGTATATGCATATATTTGTATATATTTGTGGGTACTATACATATTTATATACATATCTCTACCTCATATGTTGTACAAATATAGTATGCCTGCCATGCTCGGTCGAGTTCTGTGCAAACTTCATGGGGTCGCAACTCCAGCCACACTTCCAAATGACTCATTCACCAGGGGAGCTTCACTCCATACGCAGAACATGATTGTTTTCTGACTCTTCGCATTTAGCCTCTTAACTGTAAAATGGCTTGGGCAGAGACCCCAGTTCCCTGTCACAAAAGAGGTAAGCCCTCATTTCAAGAACCCTGAGAGGAAGGGATTCCATGTCCTTCTTGCCCTCGTCCTGAAGCGCCTCTGATCAGCGCGAAAGCATGAGACCAACTTCCCAAGTCTGATGGACTGTCTCTGTCAAAGTGACACACGCGAAACTATCCCTTAGCTTAGGCTGTGGTTAAAGTTTGAAGGGAACCGCAGCCTCCCCCCCCCCCCCTCCCCTAAAATAACGTTGAGACAGAAAAGAGAGTAACGTTGAGACAGACTAATCATGTCTTATTTACTGGACCCAAATGCAAATGCCCGACGACAGTACTCGCGGAAACCAGTGTGAGCTGTGGTTCTGTGGTGGGGGGTGGTTAGGGCTGTTTAGCGTTGTTTAGGGTTGCTTTGTTTCGGGTTGGCTTACGTTTAGTTGAGGGTGGGTTTAGGCCTTGTTTCGGCTTGGCTAAATGGTTTCCAGTATATGCTTGCCGGGTTGGCTTGCCCCAAGCACGAGGGTGGCCAGCTCGCCACCAAGAAAAAAACACATTTCATAGGTCCTCCAGTAGAGGGGTTAGAATAAGGGTGCCCTGTTAGTCGATTTTAGTAGGGAAACTCTCCCCCCAAAAAGGGTGAAAGGGCACCCTCGGACCCTGGAAAAGCCTAGGGGAACTACCCGGTAGGGAATCTAATCCGCGTGAGGGGGGTCTCCCAAGCGTCGTTGGAAAGAGGCGGCAAAGAGGCGGCAAAGAGGCACCACACTTTGTAGAAGAAAATCGTCCAAACCAGCACACACCCCTCTGTCTGCGGATTGGCTTTGGCTTCCATGTGGATGGGAGACCAACGGGTGTAACAGGATATACAACCACGATCTAGTCACCATAGTTCTGGAACTGTCCCAGCTTACACGTGGGGAAGCCAGCAAGTCTGCACTCTTAATACTTAATCCACACTTGCTTCGATCAAAGTCAAAATCGGATACCCTGCTTTAACACCCACCCGTATCGTGGCCCACAACTGATATACAGCGTTTTCTGACTCTGTTCCGGATACAGTCTACCCACGAAAATGCACGCCTGCAGCCTCAAAGTTTCCTTCTAAAATATGTTAAAATCCGCCGACCCCCTGCCTGCAAGGGGAAGGCGCTGGAGGAGTGTTCGTTTAGCGTTGGAGCGTGACTGTGGCAGCCTTCTCCCTTCCCTTTCGCCCTCGCCCGTTCAGCCCTGTACCTTACCAGCCTTCTTTCTTTCCCTTTTTTCTTGTTCTTCTTCGTTTCTTTTCTTTCCTTTTCCTTTCTGCTGCCGGCGCACTCCTTTGGTTGGTGCTCGCTGTGGACAAACGAGTGCGGCCTGGAAAAGCGCTCAAGCACCTGCAGGGCACAGTTTTCAGCGCTGAAGCTCTGTCACGGCCCGCCCGTCCGGCCTTTTTTCTTCCTTTCTGCTGCCGGCGCACTCCTTTGGTTGGTGCTCGCTGTGGGCAAACGAGTGCGGGCCCGCCCGTTCGGCCTCTTTTCTTCCTTTCTGCTGCCGGCGCACTCCTTTGGTTTCTTTCCTTTTCCTTTCTGCTGCCGGCGCACTCCTTTGGTTGGTGCTCGCTGTGGACAAACGAGTGCGGCCTGGAAAAGCGCGGGAAGCGAAGCTTTTGTGGCTGGCCGCTCGCTCTGGACCGATAATTGGACTCAAACGCGACGTTAGGCACCCGGCCGGCGGAGCAGGCTGCCGGCGCACTCCTTTGGTTCGTGCTCGCTGCGGCGAAGCGAGTGCGGCCTCCAAGCACGCTGGACGCGAAGCTGTTCTTGCTGACCGATAGCTTTCTACTTTCTATATAGGATTCAAAAGTGACGTTCGGCACCCGGCCGCGGCGGAGCAGCCGCCCTTGGCAAGACGCACAGCAAACCCAAAGGGAGAAAGACCAGGGATAGGCAAACTGTGACAGACGCAGGCGCACATGGGCATGGACAGGCCGGGGATTGAACCCGGCCCCTCTCGCATGCTGAGCGGGTGTGATGCCACTACACCAACTGCCCCTGAGCTGAGGAGGCCGAGAGTGCTCAACTACCTGCTGGGCACAGCTTTCAGCGCTAAAGCTCTGTCACGGCCAGCCCGTTCGGCCTGTTTTCTTCCTATCTGCTGCCGGCGCACTCCTTTGGTTGGTGCTCGCTGTGGGCAAACGAGTGCGGCCTGGAAAAGCGCTCAAGCACCTGCAGGGCACAGTTTTCAGCGCTGAAGCTCTGTCACGGCCCGCCCGTCCGGCCTTTTTTCTTCCTTTCTGCTGCCGGCGCACTCCTTTGGTTGGTGCTTGCTGTAGGCAAACGCGTGCGGGCCCGCCCGTTCGGCCTCTTTTCTTCCTTTCTGCTGCCGGCGCACTCCTTTGGTTTCTTTCCTTTTCCTTTCTGCCGCCGGCGCGCTCCTTTGGTTGGTGCTCGCTGTGGACAAACGAGTGCGGCCTGGAAAAGCGCGGGAAGCGAAGCTTTTGTGGCTGGCCGCTCCCTCTGGACCGATAGCCTTACTGCATATTGGACTCAAACGCGACGTTAGGCACCCGGCCGCGGCGGAGCAGGCTGCGGGCGCACTCCTTTGGTTCGTGCTCGCTGCGGCGAAGCGAGTGCGGCCTCCAAGCGCGCTGGACGCGAAGCTGTTCTTGCTGACCGATAGCTTTCTACTTTCTATATAGGATTCAAAAGTGACGTTCGGCACCCGGCCGCGGCGGAGCAGCCGCCCTTGGCAAGACGCACAGCAAAAGGGAGAAAGACCAGGGATAGGCAAACTGTGACAGACGCAGGCGCACATGGGCATGGACAGGCCGGGGATTGAACCCGCTGCATGGGCCCAACGTGTCACTACATGGCGACAGCATCATGGCCTGTTGGATGATGGGGATTTTGCTTTTGCCTTTACAGACGTGACACAAGCCCAGAAGATTGGGGAGTGGTTGGCACACAGTTGGCTGCAAACCCGGAGACGGGAGTTCCGGGACCTGGCCAGGGCCTCTGCCGGGGTTTATGCAGCAGTGTCTACAGTGGGTCCGCTGGAAGGCACCCCACCCGCCACTTCCCAGGTGGCCAGGGCCCCAGCCAAGGTGCTTGAGGCCAGAGGCAGGACCCAGGTGGAGCAGCTGGTGCAGATCCTTCGAGCTGCGCAGGGCCCTACAGCTGGCTTACCGCCAGCCACACTCAGGAGCGCCAGGTGCAGGGCAGTGCAGAGTTCGCGACTGTGGCGCGAGCGGTTATGACCTGGGATGAACTCATGGCTTTTCTCCAGACCACAAAGCGCCCTCTTGTTGAGCTGGAAGCTTCAACAGTTGAGGCGTTTGTGCATTCACACAAGGCAATGGGCAGGGCATATCACTCACTGAAATGGCTCCAACGCAATTTGCTGATCCCTTTGCACATGGACTCAGTGTTACAGCCGGAGGTTGTGAGGGCCAAGCCGGCCATTGGGGATAACTCCAAACAGGCCCCAGTGCTGGAACCTGCCATGTTGAGGGTTTTGGAGACCGCCATCATTGCTGCCCAGAGGGCGGGCAACCCTGCATGGACTGGGATGCTTGGACATTGGATTCAGGGCTTTGGCTGCCTTCGCATGGCCCATATTCGCCGGGCCGTTGTATTGCGGGCTAGCCCCAATATGATCCACTGTTGGTGCCCAAAAGGAAAGCAAAAGAACCTCAGGCATGGGGGCTTTGACTTCGCCATCCCACGGTTTTTCGTGACAACCCAGTGGGATTGGTGGGAGATGTACAAGCCAGCCTATTTAGCAGTTCCACTTTTGAAGCGGCGTGATTTCGGTATGGTTTTTGACAGTACAAAGTTGGCCTCGCTGACTCAATCCGCAATCACATCAGCCATTCGTCGGATCATGTCGGATCACGTACAGGATCCTGACAGTCTTACAAGTTATTCAGCAAGGCGTGTTTTGCCCACCCTGGCTTCCTTGGTAGGTTTGGAACCCACTGAGACTCAAGCTCTGTCCGACTGGCAGTTGAAACCGCCTGAGGGGCAGAGCTTGATGCCTTTGCGGTATAGTGCAGTGCGCTACTTGCTGTCGGTGAAGATCAAGCTGCAATTGGCCGGGGCTCTCAGGTCTGCTCTGTCATCAGTGCATGTGACCACATGGGAGAGCATTAGCCCGGGCACGTGGCAGCAACATCTAGAAAAGGCCAAACTAGAATGCGACTTGAGCTTGGTGCATGAACATGTCACTCATTGGGCGTCTCAAGAGCTTAGCGCCCGGGCGGCCCGCCGGTTCACGCTGACATCGCCCAAGATGGCTTACCGGAATGCCCCGCTCGAGAACCTGGTGCCCGGCAAGGTGGTCTCCTTGCGGTTGAAAGGCCGCGAACAAGATGTGCTCTGCTTGAGGTACCAGACGAACAACTGCGCAGATCCCGACTGCCGCCTCGATCATAAGTGCGGAATCTTGATGCGCAGCGGCAGGACTTGCGCTGGACAGCACCCTGCAGCGGACTGCTTTGCCAAGAAGTACATGTCCCGGGAAGCTTTCCAAGCGACCCAAGAGCTTCAATGGCCTGCAGCTGGCCCTACATCATCAGCAGCATCTTTGGGCGATCGGGCCCCTGTGAGCCCTGCAGGGGGACCTGTACGGGCAGCAGCAGCCAGGGCGGTGAGCCCTGTGCCGGAGGTGGAGGCTGTTGAGGATGAGGAGGAGGAGCCTGCATTGCCGGTTCACTTGGAGCGGGAGCCTTCCGAAGGGGTGGCCAGCCGGCGCGGTCCAGATCCAGGAGCCCACCAGAGGACGAGATCTTCAACCAGTGGGCGAGGGAGAGATGGCCCAAGCCCGGCCATAGCGGCAGGCCAGAGCCGCCCACACCTTTGCCAGTGCCACAGGGAATGGGCACTCTTTGGTTGGGCCCTTTGCCAACAGAATCGCTTCGCAGTTTTTTCGCAGAACAGGGCATTACAGCCATGGTGACAGCGTTCCTTCAGCCAGTACACACCCAGCGCGCAGCCGGGGAACAAGGGATTGTTCCTCAGGGCTGTATGCAGGTGCGCTTTGCTGCAGCTGATGAGAGATTCAGGGACGCAGAGGCTGTACAGGCCTGGCACTTGGTGGAAGCCACCCTCAAAAGAGGGCAAGG